GAGGCTAACTTCGACTATTCTTGACAATTAGCTACAAAAGTAATATTTAACTGTATTATTCAACCCATGAACTCGTGAATAAAAATTACTCGTAAAATTACTTTCATCGGCCTTGCAGTGCAGTAACCCACACTACGGCAAACCTTATCAAGACACAATAACAAGAATATATTTAAGGGAACTGCCAAGAAAACTAAGACAAATTCTCTTTGGATTGTACTAAATTGTGTATTGTGAAATTCTTTAATTTTCTATCATCGATATTTGATTCCGTATTCTGTTTCCGTTTCCGTTTCCGTGATTCCGTTTCCGTTTCCGGATTCCGGATTCCGTGTTTTAGTGCTGCCCAAAAACGCCTGCGTGGAAGGCTAACGGTAAAATAGCCGAAATTTGTTTGGCGGTGGATGGGGACAATCGAAATGCATTGTGGGTGATGATGCACTGGCGAATATTCGACCTACTATCACCTGATCACCACACACTGATCATAGCTCGAGTAGTTTTACCTTGGAAAGCCGAACAAGAAATTTTTTCATTCTTATGTAAATCATAAGCGCTTTTATCAATCCCTGGTGTGGTAACCAGCCAATGCGTTTCTTTTGCCTTCGGAGATTTGCCGACTTTGAACAGCCTGGGGACGAATTTACCAAGAGTGAAAAACAAAGAGTCGTCGGGAGGAAGAAGAAGAAGACTGTTAGTTTCAGATTTTACTTACCGTTAAAGAAGGAACATCGAGCAAAGAATAAAATTCTCGGTGAGTTAAATATACTTTCTTTGTCCATAAGTGAGTCATAAATAAGTCTTACATGAATTCTCTAGGTTTGAGTGGAATACTTGCTTTAACATGCATCGTCGCTTTTGCATGATAATATAAGCTTAAACAAAGACCGCGTGTCTGACCGCGTGATGAACCTGATTAACTTTTTTGTTTTTAAACACTAAAGCACTAATAGGGCTTTATCATTCTAAAGCTCGTGGCAAATCAGTGAACCAACAAGGTACATAACCGGTTCAAAATCAAACGTTTGAACCAGGGTTTGAACGCAATAACAGATAATAAACTTTTGAGAACTTTCTAGCTTACCGTATCTCGAACTTATTAAGCCTGCAAATCCTATGACGAATCAAAAAACCTTGAAATTGGCAAACATTCTCGTTTGGAATGAAGTAAAATAAAAAAGTCAGTGTCATAGATGCCAGCCTTCAGAGATTGAAAATCCGTAGACAGTCTGTTTTGCGTTACCTTCCCTTCCCACATCAACACCACCCCACGTCGCCCATAATCACAAATAAACTGAAACCCACCAAAGCGTTAGAATATTAAACGTAGTCTTCAAATTCAAATAATCGTCTATCAATATAACTCTCTAAGCAGCTTGGGATGGCAAAAATCATCATAGATGATTAAGTTAACACTTAGCTTGAGCTTTGTTTGATCATTTAGGTTCAAATCTGAATTTGGAGTTAATTGTAGCCGCCATAATATTCGTCTGTATTTCTTCTATTTACTGCAAAAGAGCGATGCTCAGATTTCACTAACGACAATGGCAACACAAACAGAGGGTGGTCTGCCCGTGCTCAGGTGAAACATGAGTGTGCTTAAAAGGCTTAATATTAACAGAGTGTTAGAATGTGGGACACACTATACAATGCTAATTGTAAATAAATACATCACAGCCCACAGGCACTTTATCAAACACAACAATCAGCCTGACTTTAGCCTTCAAGATTGGCCTGATAAATTCTAACGAAACTGGCCATTATAACATTGAATTTAAAAGCAAAAAGCAGATTTGTGATGAAAATTTCTTTGCAAACAGTTTGAGTTTTATTGATCATTTTGAAAGAGCCCATTCTTAAATTTTAATAGTGATTTAATAATAATGTTAATAATAATTATTAATAATGATTTTATTATTTTAATATTAATAATTTAAATAACTTGATTTTTTTAAAATTTTTATGACAATTTTTGATGGTGATAGTGTAATAAAAGAGACTGTAACAAAAGAAGAGGTTTTCAGATGGTCTTTGGTAATTTTGGCAGCCACGAGCTTCAGTGCTGATCGATGAGCTGCAGTGATCCGGCAAACAATTGTTAAATTTTAATCAGTCATTGAAATCCTTAAAATATGGTGAACATAAATTTAACTCAGTTTTTCAGATAAATGAAAGATAATTTTGGTTATAAGTTTTTTAAAAACATGCTAAGCTTTTGACTAGTTACTTTGTTTTAAATTTTTTTGCTGCACTTAATTTCTGGTCTGACTGCATCGAGCAGATGTGTGTGTGGAGTCTGTCAACCCGAACCCTGTAGCTGATTTGTGTCTGACAAAACAAGTTCTGTTCGAAACAGTTCTATCTGGTATTGTCAAGTGACCTTACATTATTCAAAGAAATCAACTGAAATAATGAATTATCTATATATCCTTTGCAAATAATTATTCTTGAAGAGCAAAGCAAAACAACCTAGTGGTTGCAAAACGTGGTGGCCTTGATGAAAGAATACCTGATATATGACTAAGCATGCCACGCTTTTTTGAATCTGGATGATTTCCTGTACAGTAGTGCCAACATATTTTTTCCTCATATTTTTTCTTTCATTGCCATTAAACAATAATAGTCCATTTTCGAGTTAGCTATGACCACTGAATTAAAGAAGTGAAGACGCATTTTTTACAGCCTTAGCCTCCATCTGAAGTAATATATTCACAAATTCCAATGAGAAAAAGACCTGTTTATTACTCTGTCTATTGTGTATATTTAAATTCAAACACTTACTTGCCAGAATTTCTGAATATTTTACTCTACGTCAAGGCTAACCCTGTATGAATGTGTCGTTAATGTTTGTATTCAGCGGTAGTTTTTAATTCGAAACTGGACTATTCGGGGACTACTGTTTTATCTCCTTAGGTCAAGGGCAGTTATTCATTGTATTTGTTATTCACTTGAATTAGTCAATTCAATCAATTCAACCGTGCTTATTAGCTCAGTTGCTTGGTTACCAACCTTTGGAGTGATAAGCTCTAGGTTTGATTTTTGGCTGAACTAGCACTTAGGGTTTTGAAAATAAAGGCTCAGTCACTTTCAAGTGTACCCAAAATGGAAAAATAATGCTTCCTTGGGTTAGAGGTGCAGTACTTGGAAGTAGTGGTAATCCAGGGGGAGGGTTGGTGGGGTCAGGACTCCCTATCTATTAGTGCTTTTTTTCTTCCTCCACACTATGACCACTAAGGTATAACTTTGTTCACTATGTAGGTCACAACTGTTGAGATTGAATCATATAATAAACAGGGGGCAAAATATTGTGGGACTGTTTCCAGTCATGTTGCCCAACCTTAGAAATTTTAGCGTAAGTTAAAAATAACTTTAGCTCAACAAGCAAAAACATGAAGTGAAAAACGATTCTCGTCCTCCTGATACGTTATATTGTAAGACATTTATATATTTTTCTCACCAAAAAAGGTTTTTTATCTGCTCTAGCGAAGACATTTAGCATACAAATTTAGCATACAAATTGTTGCTACGAGTTTTGAAATCTGTATGCATATTTGGAGTTCAATTTTATTCTTGGTTTCAATTTTTCTTTTCTTTTCTTTTTGGGTATGGTAATCAGTATGATAATAGGTTTGAAACAAAGGAAAACATAATTTAAAACCAATGATAAAATTGGACCATAACATATATCTTATTATAAATCATATAATTCATTTGTTGTAATTGCCTGACTAGTGTGGTCATCTCTGACCATATGAAACAATATTGTCGCTACCTCTGAGGTCTAGAATAGAATAATATTTATCCTATATAGTATTTTATATTCTTTCTTCTCACTTAAGTAATGCAATAGGAATGAAATTATCTGTTTCTTGCGTGGAACTCTTACTTTCGAAGACAGAAAGGTTTTTCCAGACAAATGGTTATCTTGACCAGACATTTTCCGTTGACCGGCAGTTATTTTGAGTCCTGATGCATGCTCTGCTGATAAAAGCATACCAGTTAGAAGCCTATCCGTAGTTTGTGACCCGACGAAAAGAAACCCGTTTATACCAAAGTGGTTACCCTGTGATGAAATGTCTGATGTAAAAAAAAAAATGCTCTAGTCTCTAGGCTTTACGAAGCTTATTTCAACATCCTTAGCCCTAAAGCGTACTTGTTTCCACGAACTTGAAAACGTGCTGCTAAATTTATATTTACGTAACGATAACGTGAACATCATTTATGGAGAAATAACAGATAATTATTTAAACCTGTTTTGTTTTTTGGAAACAGTCCTTGGACGTTGGATTTGAAGAATGGCCAACAAAGAATACACCGAAGAGGAGCTGAATTATTTTCGTGTTTGCTACATTACCACCCACATCATCAGGGAAGGTCTTAAAGAACTGTTTAAACGTGAATGGGACCGACACTACAGTCCTGGGTTTGGTTTATGGCAAGATACTGCAAGAAATGGGCAGGATTTCTTTAGAATGGAATCAAAAAAGAGTCGTTCAAAAAATTCAAGACTCTTGAGTATCATTCAAAATGGAAACAGAGAAGAATGGGATTGCACCTGCTTTTTCTTTGCAATTCTCTACTCTGACACCCTGGGGCCTTTAATAAGCGCAGCAGTTTTCAACGATGTAGACAATTTGCGAATGTTCCGTAATGAAGTATTTGCGCATCGTTCTAAAGCTTGTTTTCCTGAAGCAGAGTTTCAGAGATGTGTATCCAAAGTGTCAAATGCATTCGCGTCTCTTCATCTTTCCACTGTAGAACTGCAGAGAATAATCAACCAAAACAGTTTCCCTACTGAAGAGCTTCAGAAGCTTCAAGAGCAGGTTACGGTCTTGGAGGATGAGCTACAAGGTAAACCTAAATCTTTCAAGATTCTTCCACAGGCGCCATCACATGCGGTTGTCGAAAGGAAAGTGGAAGTTGAAAACATCTTGCAGAAATTCACAGATCTCGTGAAGATCAATGAAGGGGATTCTATTGTTACGATTTATATCTCTGGTAATCCAGGATGTGGCAAAAGTCAAGTTGCTCGCGAAGTTGGGAGACAGTTCTTTGAAAGGGAAGCCGCTAAGATTATCCATGATAGTTGTACGCTTGTCATGACCTTAAATTCTGAAAGTGAACAGTCCATGTTAGATTCTTACCACACGTTTGCCCGCAATGTTGGTGTCACTGAATATTCCCTGAACAATATCACAGGAGGGGACTCAGTTTTGTTGCCCTGTGAAAAGATCTCTCATCTGAAAACTCTTGTTTCTTACAAAATGGAAAACTATTCCAGTTGGTTGCTTGTATATGACAATGTCAATGAACTCAACAGCATTAGAGATTACTTGCCTGATGAGCATTGGGGAGGTTGTGGACAGGTTGTCGTTACTACCCAGGACAGTATTAACATACCAGAAGCTGATCCTCTTTGTGCAAGTGTTTCTCTTAGTGAGGGAATGAAGTTTGAAGATGCTAGAATTCTACTTCGAAAGATTTGTGGGTTTTCAAGTGATAGTGAAGAAGAGTCCTTAGTACTGAATGCTTTGGACTATCAACCTTTGGCTATTGCCTGTGCTGCAATTTATGTTCGTTTCATTCGAGTGAACCAGAAGTCAAGCTCTAGTAATGCTTGGAAAGAATACCTGAAGAAACTGGAAACTTTGGAAAAGCGAGCTTCTACAGAGAGAGCGTATAAACGGTCGAGCAAGTCTTATCGATCTTCAATGACTGCTGCTGTAACTTTGGCGTTAGAAAAACTGGTACAAGAGCCAACGTTTGAACACGTGGTTCCATTTCTTGCCTTGGGCTCCCCTGCACCTGTCAATTTGGATTTAATTGTCCGTTATCTTACAAAGCAAGATCCAGATTGCGATAAAGACTTTGCTGCTGCTGAAATTGTAAAATGCTCCTTGCTAATGATGGTGTCCTGCTCAGATGACATTTCAAAGATACAAGTGAAGATGCATCAAGTTGTTCATGAAGTCTTTAAGAAATACCTTATTGATAAGTATAGTGAGGAGCAGATTGCAGAATTCATTCTTTTGTACATTGAAACTCTCTCTGCCTCTGCACAACATGACCCACATCATTTTGATCTGAAATTCCATATGACCTCTAAAATGATGGTTCTTCATTTGAAATTACTTCTTGATTGGCCTAAAGAGGTTTGGAAATTGGCCCTGGCAAAGATCGGACAAAGGAGTCCTCTGCAAAGTACTTTGTTCTGTTTTGGCGACATTTGCAGGAAGCATTTTTTCCTCTCAGAAGGTGGGAGATATTTCAGTTATGCCTTGCAAATTGCTAAAGATGACTATGACAGTGAAGATATAAAGAAAATCGGTTTTATTGCCACTATCATAAACAACCAAGGTTTGATATTCCATGAAAATGGCGAGTTTCAAATGGCTGAGCTGTATTACAGGCGTGCCCTAGATATCATAAGGAGACTACAACCATCACAAAAATGTTCGCCAGAAATTGCAGATTCTCTCAACAAACTGGGAACACTCTACTACACTTTTACTTACAAAGAAATTGCCTATATGGAAAGAGTAAAACGAGAGTACTTACTGCAGCAATACGGTCTTGAGTCGTGTGAAGAAGACTTCAGTTTCGCCCGCCGTGCAACAGGTTATATAGCAAAAGCAAAAGACCACTTTCAGCAATCTCTTGACATGAGAAAACAGCTATATGGTCATGAACATCCTGAAGTTGTGGCTTCACTAACGAATGTTGGTTCAATCTACAGCGTAATGGGTGACCTACAAACTGCAAAGGAGTTGTTCCAAAGATCGCATGTTCTCAATGAAAAGATTTATGGTGAAGAACACCCATGTGTTGCCGATTCCTTGAACAATCTTGGAGTCGTAAACAGCAAAATGGGTCTCGCTGTGGAGGCAATTCAGTACCTTGATAAGGCATTGGAAATGAGAAAGAAGCTCTTTTTTTATGATCATGCTGTGATAGCTGATTCATATAATAACCTTGCTCTTGCTTACCAAAACAACGGTCAACTTGATCAAGCAAAAGAATGCTTCAAAGAAGCATTGCGTATCAGACAAAAAATCTCAGGAAAAGAACACGCATCGGTGGCAGGAGTCTTGTTCAATTTCAGTAACCTGTACTTGAACTTGGGTGAAGTCAAGAAGGCTAAAGTCCTCAATGATCGTGCACGGCAGATAATGGATAGTTTTAATCGATCAGGATGGCTTCGAAGAGGATTTATTCCAATAGGAGAACCTGGTGAACACTTCAAATCTTGCATGCGTAGCCGTTATGCATATGCTGTTTTTCAAGCAAGCTGCTCTGTTGACCCCCTCCCTCCCGAAAGATTTGCCATAACATGCCAAAACGAAAGTCCATGACGGAAGATACCAATTGCGCTCTGCAGCTGGTTTCAGTTCCTCAGCAGTTGTGAAAATGAGTCCATTCATTTTTGTTTCAGTTCAAGGTTCAATTTTTTTCTCACAATATCATAAAGATGTCAGCGAGGATCCTGATAACATCTACATTTTCTCAGTTATCAAGGACCTTCGGCTCTGGTTTTTGTAGCCGGCAACAAGGTCAGGACAAGATGGAAAAGGTATTAACAACATAGACGGGATCGAAGGAGTTTTGCAAATTGAGCTTCCAAGGTGATGAACTTGTAGTTAAAAGTCTATATAGCAACGAAGAAATGATACGAGCAATTGAACAATTTAATCATTTTTCTGCAAAAACAACGCAACCGTCTTTCCATTAGCTTTTTTGAAATTGCTCTTTGTTGTCAATGCTGTCCATTGACTATTGACTAAAAAAGCTGTCGCCCTCAAATCCCTATTGAATTGGAATACAAATTTATAAGTGGTTTATAAGTTTATAAGTGGGGAATTGTCTGTTAAATAAAAATCAAAAAATTAATATTCAAATACTGTCTATGATTTTCGAACAGCTCGCCAGGATACATTAAAGAACTGAGATCTAATCTAAATACTCAGAGCGATTCCACTAGTGGGAAATTGCTTGTTTAACACGCAACATATTTTAATGTTACTTTTCTTTTTAATGCTTTATATTTTTTTCTTGTATTTATAGAACCTGTAAACGCTCTTTTGTTTTGAATTGATAGTGATGTCCGAGAACGTCGAAACGTTCTCATGTTTTTAACGTTTATTTTTTAAACTTTTAAAACAGTGAATGGCGCCGGTCCCCGTTGTCTTGAAGATATCTTAAAATTTTACCATCAATCAACGACATTACGGTCATCAAGGGATCATTTAATACGCCTTGAAGAACCAAATTTTAACATAAAAACTTATGGCCAGCGAGCGTTTTCCATTGCTGCCCCCCGACTATAGAACAAGCTCCCCTTTGAAATTCGAGCTTGTTCTGATGTTAATCTTTTTAAATCTAAGTTGAAAACGTTTCTTTTTAAAAAGGTATATGACATTTAGTTTCTTCATATTTGTTTTTGTTTTCTTTCCTTTTTAAGATGTGTATGCTATAGATTTCCCAATATGTACAGTTGGGTTATATGTAAGCTTGTGATTAATGATATTCTTATGTCCTTTTTTGCATTGTAAAGCGCTTAGAACAGTGATGTATAAACGCTATATAAATTCCTTTATTATTATTATTATTATTAGTGACTGACGTTTCGACAACCTGTGCGATAGTCGTCTTCAGAGTCAAAGTGAGTTGTATCACGTCAGTTGATGGTATTATACTCTGGTTATTGATCTGATTGGTCAATTACGTCGCGATGTTATTGGTCGTCTGTCAGTTAAGCCGTGATGTTATTGGCTATGAAGACTCGTAATTGGTGCGTTTCGATCCGTCTATTGTCACAGTTAATAATAATAATTTAATAATAATTCACCAATTTATATAGCGCGCATTTACATGTGCTGATCAATAGCGCTTTACAATCATATGTTTAAGAGAAAACAAAAATACATTACCGTGAGATGTAAAATAACCCAAGTTACAAACTATAAAAATACTTCTTAAAAAGATAGGTTTTAAGTCGAGATTTAAAACTGTTAGGTGATGTTGCTTGACGAAGCTCCACAGGTAGGCCATTCCAGAGTTTCGGAGCTGCTGCTGAGAATGATCTTTATCCCAATGTTGTAAGCATCTTTCCCTTGGGATGGTCCAATAAGAGCTTACCAGTAGACCTAAGATTATACAATGAATTCGATTTTATACTAATAAGATCGCTAAGATAAGTTGGTGCTAGGCCATAAATACATTTGAAAGTCAAAAGTAAAATCTTATGGTCAATACGCAAAGAAACCGGCAGCCAGTGCAGCTCATAAAGCGCCGGTGTAATGTGAGAAAACTTTCCGATGCCAAGAATAAGTCTTGCTGCTGCATTTTGTACACGCTGTAATTTAGCGATCTGCGCCTTTGGTAAGCCAAACAATAAACCATTACAATAGTCAAGACGGCTGGTTATAAAAGCATGAACCAAAGTAATTAAAGAGTCTCTCAACAGGTATTTCTTAATACGTCTCAAGTTATGTAAATGATAAAATGCCGCATTACGAGCCTTGTTTATATGATCAGTCATGCTTAAGTTGCTGTCAAACCACGATCCAAGGTTTTTAACACATGGGCTTGGACTGATACGATTATTGCCCACAGTAATGGAACACGAATCTAGTTTATCAAGCTGTTGTCGTGTGCCGACCAACCAAAACTCTGTTTTATCATAAATGATCATCAACCGATCTTGAATCATCCATTTCCTCACCGCGTCAATGCACCTTTCCATAGCTTGTATAGCATCAGCTTGGGCAGTGTTGCCGAGTGGTTTAAAACTCAGATACAGCTGCGTATCATCTGCGAAACAGTGAGCATAGGGAAGATAATGTTCCACGATCTTAAACAGCTTGGACGCATATATTATGAATAGCAAAGGCCCTAAACATGAGCCTTGGGGTACCCCGCAGTTCCAGTCAAAAGGACGAGAAAGAACTCCATGTACAGAAACGTGCTGACTTCTATCAGACAAGTACGACCTAAACCAATTCAGAGCAGTCCCACGTATGCCAACCTCGTCAGATAGCCTCTTTAAAAGTATTCGATGATCAACAGTGTCAAAGGCAGCACTGAGATCCAATAAAATTAACATAGTGACATGTTGAGAGTTCATCTTTAACTAAATATCGTTCATCACCTTGATAAGTGAAGTTTCAGTGCTATAGAATTGCCTGTAAGAAGACTGAAGCGCAGGGAAAATAGCATTTGAAACCATGTGATCGTAAACTTGATTAAAAATGACTTTTTCAGTCAACTTGGATACGTATTGTAAGTTACTAACTGGTCTGTAATTTTTGTACAGCAAATCCAGGTTTCTTCAAGATAGGATTAATAAGCCCACATTTCCAATCATCTGCAAATTCTCCAGAATTAAGAGACAGGTTGATCATTTGAGTAATGACTGGTAATAGCACATCAGCACAGCTGATCACCATAGGTGTTGACATCGGATTAAACATACAGCTCTTCTTCGGAGAGCAGCCATTCAACTTACTAACTGCACTTTCAGTTAAAGGGATAAAGCTGCCCAATGTTCTAGTTAGTAACGTTTTCACATAGTCAAAATGGGAATCATGCAAACAATCAGCTAGTCTGTCCAATTTGACATGAATGGCGTCAATCTTTTCATACCCATTTCATTGGCTAAACCCAGCTTGTCATTAGTTGGTGCAAAGGTACTTCATGACCTGGATTTAGCAACCTCTTTGTTGCCGAGAATAAGGTCCTTTAATTGGAGTTATTTTCAACAATAAAGTCTGAGTAAAACTTACGACGGGCTTCATTCATCAAGTAGGTTGTAAAGTTCCTCTTCTTTTTAAATTCGAGCAAATCACGGACACTTCGAGAGCGACGCCATTTTCTTTCAGCTCTCCGTCTTTCCCTCATTGACTCCCTAATATCTTCACTAAACCAAGGTAACAAAGGCCTCACTGTGATAAACTTAGTGACAAGTGGGACATGACGATCAAGAGCCGCAGATAACGTAGAATTATAACATTTAACAAGATCATTCAGAGCATCAGGGCTGTCTGTACAAAGCGAAGTTGTAGAGAGTTCCATCACATAACAGGTTAACGTCAACCACCTTAGTCTTCCTGAAAGAGATTTTTTTCTTCGGGAGCGGTGGCTTGTACAGGGTTAGATCACAGATCAAAGTAGAGTGAACAGAAAACAGACAGTCAGTCACAGGGATGTTAGCCAATATGGAGTCGCATTGTCGAGTAATGATCAAATCCAGGGTGTGTCCTGACTCGTGCGTTGGCTCGTTTTTTGTCAGTTCTCCATTCGTCCTCTCGTAGTTAGTTTTGCTTGATCTCGTCAATAAGTCGTTTGTACGGCGCTGGTAACTGTTGGCTACGATTCAGTGGCGTTTGTTCTAAGTTTTTGATGTTTCGTCTTTAAATGGTCAATCAATCAATCAACAACTTTATTTAAGTGTCTAATCTTCTAGCTTGCCGTCAGGCCTACTAATCGGGGACACTACGTAAATTACTTATTAATAAGAAATATATATACATAATACTATAAGCCAATAAGATTTAACTATTCTAAAACTACTTAAAAGATACACGATATTCAATATGCTTCGAAAATACACCTATGTAATAAATAAGAAAAAAACTATATATACAATTTCATAATATATCAACTCTACTAGTTATGATATTTTCTGTTTATGAATTATGAGTCACACAAGTGGCACCCTTTGCATGCCTTGTCACTAACCAATTTGCTCAGATCTTTTCCCCTTATATTTGCTTTAAACCTACTTAAGGAGGTCTCGTTTCTGTCCTTCATACTCAATTTTGACCATAAAAATGGCCCAAAAAATCTGAGGGAATGCTTTCCATATTTAACAGATTTTACCCTTTGAACGTGAAAGTCCGAGTTCCTCAGGTTGTAGTTCGAGGGCGATGACGAGAAGAGTTCTAGTATGTTGTAAGGCAGTAATCTATTCCTTATTTTGAACATAAAGATAGCGATATCTTGTAATCTCATGTTATATAGACTAGTCATTCCAGCGTGTGTAAGAAGGTCACCATAAGGAGAGACTCGATCTTTGAAGACTGTACGTAGTCCTCTTTCATTAATTCTGTGCCACACCAAGCTACAGTATGTGAGATGGGGTAAAACTGCAGTTTTATATATCCGTAGTTTTGCGCTCATCGGGATTAGATTCTTTAGCCTTTGAAGAACACCAATCATTTTACTGATTTTTCTGCAGACCTCTGATATATGCTGCGAGAAATTCAAGTCCTTATCAATAATTATGCCTAGCAGTTTGAATGCATCGGTAAAGTTAATTCTGCAATCATCAATCACTAGCTCCATTTGTTGTGTGTCCCTTGCTATAGCCATTGCTTGGTATTTGCTATAATTAACTTGCAGAAAATTTGTCTTATACCACCTTGATGTCTCTTCCCCATCTTCCTTAATTCTATCTATAGCTATGTGCAGATTCAAATTGGAGCAGTAGATCTGATGGTCATCGGCATAGGCAGACAACGGAGATTTAACGCCAGTGTAGAATAAATCGTTTTCATACACGTTCCACAACAGCGGTCCCAAGGATGACCCTTGCGGGCAGCCTCGTTTGACAGCTTTCCATTCACTTGTATAGTTGCCAACTCTTGTTATGGTGCTCAGCAATGTGATTGTTGACGTCACCATTCCTCGTCGCGCGCTTGTGTTCGGTCAGTCGCGTGCTTATAGGTGTCTACCGGTTTCACCAATGTAAGAAGCCTGGCAGTCGCAGCATTTCATCTTGTATACTGCTCCCTGTCTATCCTCCGGTTTGTCTTTGTCCTTGACATTAGTAAGCAGTCGCCGTAAAGTGGTTATCGGTTTGTGTGCAACACGTATATTGTAAGGTTGTAATATACGTGCAATAGTTTCAGAGGTGCCTCTGATGTACGGTATAGTCGCTGTCGCTGTGTTGGGATCAGTGTTACTGTGAGTATTCCGTCTAACAAAGTCTGTGTTGTAATTGTTCTTACTAAGAACGTTGTTAAGATAATCAGTCTCGTCTTGTAGGCTGTCAGGTGAGTCGCAAACTAGTTGCGCTCGTCTCGTCAGAGTCCGGATAGTAGTAGCCTTGTGAGAGGTCGGGTTGTACGAAGACTGGTCTAGTAATCGGTCGGTATGTGTCGGTTTTCTGTAAATAGTCGTTTTTAGTTTGTTGTTGTCGCGAGTGACTAAGCAGTCTAGAAAACTGAGGTATCTTACCATTTTCTTCGATCTCCTTGGTGAACTGTATGTCCGCGTTCTGTCTGTTAAGGTGACTTCGTGAAAATCATCGATTCCGTCTTTGTGTACGGCGGTGAATGTGTCGTCAACGTAACGTAACCAAAGAGGTACAGTTCGCATGTAGGTAGTTAGGGCTTGTTCCTCGATGTTTTGCATGACAATTTCTGCTACAACAACAGAAACTGGAGAGCCCATAGCTGTACCGTGTAACTGTTTGTAGTGTTTGCCGTTGTACTGAAAGTACGTCAAAGTCAAACACAGGTTGAGTAGGTCCATAATGTCGTCTGTAGGTAGTGGTAGTTTAACCCTTCCTGAGAGTTCTTAATAGCGTTCTCAGTACAGTCTAGAGCCAGTTGAAGTGGAATACTGGTGAACAGCGATTTCACGTCAAAGGACACTAGTTTGTGGTCGTCCGGTCTCTGTATTGTCTTGACTGCTTTGGATGTTCTTTTTCACGGCGGCCATCTTGTTATGCGCAGTAAGAGATGCGTAGTGCAAAACCAGCGAATCACCTTAATCACCTTGTTTTGTCCTGGTTTTCTGTGTTTTCATAACTTATTCATGAGTGAGAACAAACAAGAATAAATGTACTCTATTCACTTCTAGGCTATCACCAAAGATACGCAGTTTGAAGCTAAAGAAGAAGAAGCACAGAACAGTTGCTTTTCTTGGTTCCTGATTCTTGTTAAATGACAAATCACTCATCAGTCCTATTTTCGCAAAAGTCATAGGCAAGGCATTCACGGAAAATTAATACTGAGCGTCATGATAATCTTAGCCCGTGAACAGGAGATCCTGTGGAGCCTGCCACTCCCTCTATCTCGTGTGCAGGCTTTCTTCTCGTTTCTGCTCACCCTGTATTCGCTAGCTAAAATTCAGTGATATAACTCACTTTAAGAGGCACTTTTGCATCGTCTGGAATCGCTTGCCTATTAAGTTTTGGCTCATCAATTAATAAGGGACTTAGCTAGGCAAAGATAGAGGCCCAAGTAGTCAATTCCTTCTTACCGAATCTTATACCCTGTGTATACATCCCCCTCCTCCCCTCAAGAAAACTGAATTGGGGATCGCCGATCTCTTTTTAACGGGGGCGGAGGCGGAGGTATCTTATTACAGTCTATAAGCTTTACATGAAGTATTATCGGCCTCGCACAGGAGCTGCCTCGCTCACTAGACTTCCAAAACTAACCTCGCAGAAGACACAAAAGGACTAGTTTTATTATATCTTGGTTTAATCAACGGATTATGGGTTGCGCGGATAAAGTCAGTTTGGTCGGTAAAAATGTTGAACTGAAAGCTTACGTTAATTTTGCTATTACGAAGAGGAAGCGCTTGAAACTAAGAGCCATAATGTTTAAACTTAAGTTTCGATAATTTTCAGCTATAAACCATTTTCTAAAAAGCATATTTTTGAGCCATCAGCTGTCAAGTTTTGTTGAAATAAAAATGAAATTGTTGTGGTCTGGAAAGCTCATAAAATGTGATCCAGTTTTCTAATAACGGATTGCGTGCTTTGTCCAGTCAAGTACACACCTATAAACTCATGTTACTTAGAAGCTGGTATCCACCGGATTACGTTAAAAAATTAGGCTAAACCTCATGAGAAACTATGATTTTTTATATGATCTCAGCCGACACATCACCCTGTTGTTGAAGCCATTCATCTACCATCCACGTGAATAGTGTCTTGTTTCACTTTGGGGTCTAAAGAGTGGCTCAGGTTATCGCTTCGTTCAGTGTGATAGTGTCTGCGTCTTAACTGCTCACCGTTCATACATTCGTTATCAATATTATCAATATTCTGACTGTCATGATGAAAAAGCGCTGGACCGACGCCGTTGTAGTTCCACTCTAACTGCTTCCCCGAGAACCGCAAAAATGTCGTGAAATTTCTGGCTTAAAACGGTCACAATCACATTCGGGAGCCATATTATAGTTTTTGTTAAAATGTGAGCGACGCGAAGGACTGTAGCAGTGATGATGTATATTACGTACACGATGGCTGCGATTTTAGTTCCAAATAAGACGATGGGTACAAACACTCCGAGCAGAGATAGCAAACCCAGTGCAAGAACCCCGCCTTGAAAAAGGAGAAGCGAAAACAGGACGAATATTGAAGATCCAGCGACAAAGGCAAGGAACAAGAAGAAGGGAAGAAAACCAGTTATCACGAAAGTACTAAGAAATACCGAAGCAACTGGGTGTCTCTGAATAATTTGCTTGAATTTTCGCACTTTGCACATCGCTTCGCTGTTTTTCATGTCTTTGAGCTGATCCATCATGGCGTGGAGGTTGGGATCCAGCCATGGAAACAGAATATCGCTTTCAATCATCGTGTCAATATATCTGTGAAAGTAAAACAATTCCTTGAATAGTTTAATCACTTTCAAAGGTGAGTATCGTTGAACATAGGTGACGGAAAATATGTAGTCAAGAGCCATAATGAACCATAATGGGATGCAATTTTGTTCTCTACTGCTTGGTAAGAGTTTAGAAATGAAGTTAGCTTGTGTACCCGTTTAACTCACCACTTGGTGGTATGTTCGTAGATTTCTTTTGACACGCTAATAAATTTACATGAACATTTACCGTGTACAGCCTACCCCTCACATTTGAGAATCATTGGCTGGGTTGGTGAGCAGAAAAAAAGGTAAATTACTAGGCTAATAAAGGTAAGATTTAGGCAGCTTACAGGGGCTTTGAAAGTATATAAAGAGCAGTTTTCTCAAAAGACAGAAGCAGGCAAATTGTTTCACTGAATAACTGTTCTTGAGGAAAAGGATAGATACTCAGAGGACAGGCTAGTTTGAAGCGGGATGAAACTTAGATTGATTGATTGAACAGACTGTTGAAATCGAATGATCATGATTGATTGATTAAAAATCAAGTATTGTCGAAAACTTCCAAATTATACAATAGCATTTCCTACTTCATCTAAAACTATAAAAAGAAGACGAATTTGGCCAGTTTAGGAAATAAACGGAGCAAATGCATCCAGTGATATTATCATTTTTGTTTTAAGGAACGGTGGTTCGAATCAGATTGGCTTACTGCGCGCGCGTTAACTAAAATATTTACCTGTACGTCAGCTCCTATGACAGTCCTGAGACATTGTAGAGATCGAGAAGGGGTGAAAAACGAATAAAAGATAAAGACGTATATTAGTGCTGTTGACGTCTGACACTTGTGATGAGTTCCGCTTTCTGCGGAGCATATTTCAGGTCCGCCTGTTCAATTTTCAAATTGCGACTCATTTAATCAAATTTGCCAATTACGTCACCAATTGTAATTCGTTTCTAATGTGTCTTACTCCAGATGTGGGGGAAATTTTAGTCAGAGCATTTTGAAACGCGGGGGACCCCATCGTCGCTATTAAGCGCATACCGAAAATCAAATTCAGCCTACGTAATGACGCCTCCTCCCTTTGAAAAACAATTGATTGGCGACTGTATACTTTCTTAGGCCATCCCCATAAAATGTTTCGTTTCCCATCGCCCTCCCTCTCGTGAAGGTGGGTCGGTCGGTTTTTTTACTTTTTTTACTTTTCCAAAAAAATGGGTCGGTCGGGTAATGGGAAACGAAACATTTTATGGGGATGGCCTTGTCAAATTTCCCAAAATGTCCTTATGGGTATCGATGATTTTCAGTGGAATCTTCAGTGCGTTACTTATCACTAGACAACAAATACAAACAAACGACAACCTTCTTCCTGACATTTTAACTTTTGACCTTTTTACTCGAAAATCGTGCTAAATTTTTAAATGAACTAATCAGTCTTCGAAGTCTACATGCTGCTACATGCTGCAGTACGTTTTTCAATTTCGCGATCAGTTTCGAGCCCGCGATCTCAAGCTAGGCGATGCGGTTTATTTCCCACAAGGCGGTGCGAGACTCCCTCTGTCTCCCTCTCCAAAGCGACATCAAAAATGGTGGGTTTGAAAGAAAATATAAGCCATAAACATCGCTTTTCATCGTGTTGGCATTGCTCGTTTTATCATTGTAATCCCTATAAGACAACCCACTGATAATCATTCTTCGTTTTGGGCGTAATATTTCCCTTTGCAACTTCTGCGACAATCGACTAGGGCAACCAACAAAATAGTGCTCGTGATCGTCTGTTGTACACATTGCTGAGTACCGTATACATAGAAAACATTTTAGTGGCTGTGCTGTTACTGAGAGTTTGTTCTTAACATCGAGAAATTTTGGAGTGATCGTTAGTACACAGATGAGTTAAACAGTTGATGCGAGGTTTTCCTATGAATATGATAAATAATTCTTATCTTTACGACTTTCATCTCCAGTTTTAAATTTGTGAGTTCACTAGTTTTGCAGTTGTCGTTGAATAGCCCTTAAATAGATCGTCTGGAAGAATTAATCGAACGGTGTAAACGGTGACTTCCTTACAACATCGAGGTCGTTAGACTGTCTGGGCTGGTTCAAATAGAGGTGATAAATCGTAATTGTTTACCTGGAGGATGTTTTGTTGTACTTCAGGTGAAGGTAAAAGCTCACGAGCTTCGCGGGAAGAAAAAGGAAGAGCTTCTGAAGCAGCTTGATGAACTCAAGACTGAGTTGTCACAACTGGAAGTTGCTAAGGTGACAGGAGGAGCTGCTTCCAAACTCTCTAAAATGTAAGTTCATTTTAAAATCACACGGTTTAAGTTTTCATGTGGCCTCTCCTTATGAGCTATGTCCATCTCTAGCCATACTTTATTCCATTCACTTGAAGCCTCTCGTTCAAACCTCCTGTAATGACAATCTCTCTGCCACAGCTGTGTGGCAATAATATTGTAAAGCTGTTACCGGAGTTTCAGTAATCAGTAATCAGTGCATTGCTGACAGAAAGAGTAACTGTGGACAACTGCTGTCTGCTAATATCTCTGTCTATGGTCTTTAGTTACCTAAAGTACATTACCTGTTCAGGGCTTAAAATAACGTCCAGTCAATGGACAATGTCTGGCCAAGATGATCATTAATTTTGTCCTAGCCTGTTCCAGGCTCCAAGATAGTGACATCTGCAGTGATCCATCTAGAAACAGGTAGCAGTGAGTCCAGAGCAGGGTGCAAAGAAAATCATTTTTATAGCTTGCCATTCAGGCAACCTGAAGCTAGCATTTACTAGCTCAGACGTCATTTCAACTAGCCCCAAAAACTTTTTGACTTGCAGAATTGATTTGACAGTTCTTCCGTTATTCAAATTCCTCAAAACATCATGTGCCCGTCAGGCAAGTTAAAAACAGAATTCACTAGCCCCGGGCTATCAGACACTACTTTCTTTGCATGCTGCAGAGACTCACACAACCAAAAACCTGTGAGTCCCTTAGACATAAGTGTGAGTCCCATACACAGGAGTTTGATTCCCAAATGGTCCTACATCCATCAGTGCATGAGTTGTACCTGTGAGGAACACTTACACATCAAGAGGTTTTTATTGTCATATGGTTACTTTCAGTCGTTGACATACAAATGAAATCATGAATAACTTTGTACAGGGAGCAATCTCAAAATCTATTTCTTAAATTTGAGCTCATAGATCCACCTGTCCTTCCCTTTGTACTATTTTTCCAGTGCACGATCAAAATTGAATTCAGTTTTTTCAGGACCAAGTTTTACTCTGATAACCTATGTCATCAAGCCCCGAATCATGAAGAAGTTCCAGTAGCAATTTGAATTTTACTAGTGGGATGCTCGCCATACACAGCCACTGCACGCACTTGAAAAGCACCAGTATGGCTTTATTCTGCTTTGTAATGCCTTTTCTTTGGGCTTCCTCGGATGTCTTTCTTATCTCAGAGCCTTTGAGGGCCATTTTGTGTTCAAGGAGACCAACATACAGAGTGAGCATGGTGTTTTGAAAATTTTGGCACTGGGCTTCCTTTGTTCATTCCATTAGATTTCCTAGTCTCCATGCAGTCCTGACTGGGCAGTACATGTAATTGCCATTTTTTTCGTAAACCATCCACTTACTCTTTCAGCCAGGGCTCGAATAATTTTCTTTCCTTGGATTTAGCTCGGCTGTCATTGTCACATCATCTTTTTTGATTTCAGTTGCTGGTTCTTGTCCTTCTTTTTCTTGACATTGATTCTCAAGTGAGAGCTATGTTTGCCTCTCCAGGCACATAACTTTTTCCTTCTGATTCCACCGAAGAAAAATTAAATTTTAATGCAGTCAATATTTGAATAACTCATGTGCAAGCAACAGGACAAGATAGAAGACGTGTGACAAGTCAAAGAAGAAACACTTCTGTAACTGCTGACTAGAACAGTGGGCCTGTGATGGAGTTTGCTGAATTATCACATGCCACTTACTTGGCTAAATATTGCAAAGTTTTTTGTAGATAGAGAGGAAAAGACATCAAGCCATGATCTTAATAGAGAAATGATAATTTTTTGCATCCAAAGGGACAAATGTGGACTAAATTTTGAACCTTTTCGGAAATTTGTGAGTCTGAGATGCGGGATGCGCAGGTAGATGGATCACTGCGTCTGTGAAATTGAGAAAGCGCAACACAAAGATAAAGTGGGAGGAAACTGGAGAGAGGAAGGGTTTTGCATGAGAGGTCACATTTTATACAACTCTTCTCCAATGTGGAGGTGAATATGGGTGGATAAATACCAGGGCGTGCTGTGCGCTAGCCATGACAGGCATAATTATTGTTTTAGTAAATCAAATGAATAAAAATGATAATATATTTTTGTAAATAAATGTTTTTCAGGAATACAAATGTATGTTTAGTGCATTTTCACAAATTGTTGCAAATTCAGCAGGAAAATAGTTCTCTACCTACCAGTAAACACTGGCAAGGCAAATTTTGTCTTTTTCTTTGTATTTGGTGCTACAGCTCCTCCTGGTTTTGGCTAAAAATACTTTTTCCAAAACTGTTGTGAGTAGAGTGTGTTAAAAATGATACTTTTTTGTTACTTCTTTTTGGGAACTATTGTTGGAGTTTAATATTATACCTCCTTTTTTTTTGGAAGTTCATAAGGTTTTTGAATAATTCACCTCAGTACATAAACTAAAAGAAGCATTTAGCTGTGTTTCATGTGAGAAGGTTATAAACGTAATACACCTGGCATTTTTTAAGTTTTACAAAATCCAAACAGTTTCATTTCTGATTACTTCTGATGACAGTATTTTGTCAGATCTTCTTTCCTTGGTGGTGGCTGCTTGTTAATGAAGAGTACAGTAACTTGACTTTTACAGCCAAATCAGCTTGCACAATGAATGGGAAAAAATTATTTCAATTTCATACAGGACAAACTTTGTGCCAGTCCTGTTTATTACTTATTTGGCAGTTGAACATCACTGACACTCTCATAATTGTTGTTTAGATACCTTACTTCAGTACATTGTTACTGATAGAATTACTTTTGTTGCAGAAAACTTGTACGAAAGTCCATTGCTCGTGTTTTGACTGTCATCAGCCATTCTCAGCGTGAGAACCTGCGAAAGTTCTACAAAACCAAGAAATTTAAACCTCTTGACCTCAGGCCCAAGAAGACCCGTGCTATGAGGCGTGCCCTCACCAAGCATGAAGCCTCTCTGAAGACCCTGAAACAGCAGAAGAAGCTAACACACTTCTCACTTAGGAAATATGCTGTGAAGGAGTAAATCAGCTGCCTGTCAATAAAAATGTTGTGTAGATATTCTTGTCTGTGTTTCTTGTTTTTTTTTGTGAGTTACAGTACTTGAAAAAAAAACTTGAATTCCAGGCTGTTCTTCAAACAAGCAGCTCTTGCATTTTGCTCACCTCAGGGGGCCATTGTTTGCTTGTCTTGATTAGTAATAAGGAGCTTAAGCAAAGGCGTTTTTGAACAAATGACATCAACCGGAAGTGAGGCTACCAAATTTGTATTAGTCAGTGTGTTTATTCTCTTAGAGATGATTTTGCCAAATATTATACCTCTGTCATAAAATCAAAGATGGTGGCTACAACAAGCTTTCACCCACCCAAAACACGCCTGCACTGCAGGCTAATGAATGAGGTCCACTTCCAGTTGACGTGCGTTTCTCAAAAATGTCTTTGCTTAAGCTCCCTAATATATTTACAAAATATACCAGATGACTTTCTTGAACTCTTGTCCATTGGGTTAGTGAGGTTGAGAAACTTACTAGCCCAACTTGTTCCGGTTGACCTAGCAGAACATATTTTGAGCCCTGTACCCTTGTAGTTAGAGTCTTTCATTCCCTAAATAATATTCAATCAGGCAAATGCCTCTAGCAGAGTCCATGCTAGCCTGAGAAAACAGCTGACATTTCTATGATGTTGCCACTGGTTTTCTCCACGAAATGAAGTCTGGGAAACAGGGGCAGAAATTCAATACTGATGACATGTCACTACGTAGATCTTAGCCTTTGGACGCAGACGTATTTCTGGTTGTCGCTTCTCTCCACCGCAGGCTACAGAGATCTGGGTAGTGCATCTGATTGGTCATGCCACATGGCAAATTTGCTTTGACCACTCACATGCACTATCCTGATCTGGGTAGTGATGCATCATCAGTGTGGAATTTCAGTGCTTGTTTCTCAGACCTCATTTGGTGGAAAACCAGTCGTGGCATTGCAAATTGTCACTTGTCCCTGCTAACAAAGGGCTTTTGTTCATTGCCTCTTCGTTTGGTTCTGTAAGTGGAGGTGTTTTCATGTACAATTTTCCCTTTGTTTTATGAGCAAAGTGAAGGTTATTTGGAAGGAGAGGTGTCCACTGCTCTACTTACATCTCAGCAAAGAAAAGTCCCAACACCATGTCATTCCTGAAACTCCGTACTGTACTTTCTTTGAAGTTGACCTTTGATACAGTCAACTCCATAGTGTGAGGATTATGGAGGGGTATAGGATGAGTATGGGGGAAGGTAATAAGCGCCTGGAAGATAATAAATGAAGCAGGGTTACCAACTGTGAAAGTTTTGATTTTATTTGCATTGAGCCGATTGACCAGTGTTTCTTTTGAATTTTAGACATATAACAGTTAGCACAATTATGTGGATTCTGCTAGAAGGAGTGCCTCAATATTGGTAAACTGTAATAAGTTGAAAACTAACACTACAGTGTTGCAAAGTCATGGGGGGCAAGTTTGTGCACCCCCCTCTCATAAACCTAATTTTAGGGATGTTTACATGGAGGGAGAAAGATCCTAGAAGGCAGATCATCCTAGCGCCATATGTTTTCTGTTTTCAGTTTACATGCCAAGGAATGTACTGGATCTTCATAGCTGAGTGGTGGGAAGATCCTAGTGCTAGGGACAAAACAGACAAAAATTGGAAAACAAATGGTGGTGGACCCCCCCAAGTTTGGAGCACCTTAAAGCTCTAACTTTTCTTCTTGTGTATACACCCTCAAAAACTCATGCCATGTCCCTGCTATTTCACAAGATAACACTTCAGGGTCAGATTATCCAAAATTAGTAGTCAGGAAATTGAGCAGCTAGGAAGTTCTTTTGGTTCTATTTTGCTATTGTTTCCTATGAAAGTAGCCAGGGATCAAATTGCCGGTTGTCGCTGCGGGACATTGCCGGCCCTCCCGTGACAGCCCTACTTCATCTAGGTATTTTTGTTTCTCAAAAATGGCCTATCGTTCTTTTAAGGTACTTGAAAACAGGCAACAAAAATGTACCACTTGTTTTGCAACATTGCTGCAAAATGGGTTGAAAAGCGATGTGCGTTTTACCACCCATGAATCACACCTGCCTGTCTTGCAACCATTAGGTTGTTGAAGGTTGCAAAAAGTTTTTGCAGAAAGTAGAAGGAAGTTCTTCTTTTTGCAACAAAATCTGTGCATGTTGCATTTGGCAACAGCCTGAGTCATTCAAAGACTCATCACATGATAACAATACACTTTCCTCAGCTATATTTTTTTTCAACCTACAGTAACCAGTCACTCATTGTTTATATATTATTTATTATGATATTTTTAATGCTGAACTTGATCAATTTGCCACAGAAGACAGCTGACCTAAGTTCTCTCCGTTACAGGAACCTATAGGGTAGACATTGACAGTTTGTTCTAGTTTTACTTTTGAGTTTAAATCCTGCAATAAAAAATCTTGAGCCAATAACACTAACTGGCTGCACTAGTAGCACCTAAATTTTATAAAAATTAATAGTTTCTTCCTACTTAAGAATGTTCATTTTTGAGTAATCTGTCATTGCTGGATTTATCAAAATAATACTTGAACAAATTTATCTTTCTTTTTTATACATCTTGAAAGAAATGGATGACATGTATCACATGGGTTAATGCAAGTAACTTGCTTTTTCCAAAACTCCTAAGCTTATTTCAGGAGCTAGACCTTTTTGTGGTGCAGTTACAAGGAAAGACTGCAGTGCTGTTCTGTGTGACCAGTCCCATGAAACTGTCTTTCCAGTCTCCAGTCTGTCTTGCTTTTCTCTTGGATTCTCAATTCTACCCTCCATGAAGAGTGGATATAAACACAATGCTGTCATTTTCTTGCAACTCATAATCCAACTCTCCCTATAANCTCCAGTCTGTCTTGCTTTTCTCTTGGATTCTCAATTCTACCCTCCATGAAGAGTGGATATAAACACAATGCTGTCATTTTCTTGCAACTCATAATCCAACTCTCCCTATAACCAACAGAAAAAGTGGGCTAGTAGATATTAATATTCAAAAAAGAAAAAGTAAACAACAGCAATAACAACAGTTATCTCTCAGTTTATGGCCATACCAACAGCTCCCAATCAGTCTCATTTATTAGCACCAATATGCCAGGTCGTCTACAAAAAAGTAAAGAGATAAAGAAGAAAAAAGTGAATGAAAATTATGAAATACAGTACCTTTCGAAGTTACCAGCCAGAAATCTTTTAACACCCCAAAACAACAAATAACTGGGTGACTTATAGAGACTTTTTCAACATGTTCAAAGTTTGTTCTCCCAGGAGAGCACTCAAGGGAAGTTTGGGTTAAGGTTCGCTGCTGAGGCTTTCAAACCGTATATAAGACAAGTGTCCTATGTTCATGACCCTGATTCACTTTGTTTTGCACACAGTATTTCTTTAAACTAACTTTTTTGGAAAAAACATTGTGGTACCACTTAAGAAGACCGCTCAATGGCAGCCTTCACACTCTTTTTAACGCTTCCGGTCCAAAAAAACACCCTGTTCAAAATGCTAAAAAAAACAAGAGTGAAATTGTATACCACATTTAAGACTCAAGAATCTAAAAATCATACCCTGTTCGGCGGCACATACATTTTATATACCTGTCTAGGCCAAATAAAAGTGTCCCCCTTCTCTGGGGTTTGCTCATGGTATACTGCAATTCTTGGAGGTAGAAATCATGTAGAAGTGAAAAAGCCTGCACAATCAGTTAGACCAGTTACAGTGGTCATTGTCTACTACATGTATGGAAATAACATCTGATCATTTCATGTGCTAGGTAGAGAGACTCCCAGGATGACCAAAATAATATCAACTCCTGTTATTGCAGAATACACTACTGGGACCACAAGTTGGTGCCTGTAGTAGTAACAGTCCATAAAAGCAAGGTTTGAGGAGAATTTCCTTAGAAAAGATGTGCATTACAGGAGTAACATGACGTATCTACATTGTACATTTTTAAATGTACAATAATATCGTAATGACAAAAAATGGATAAAGTAATGGTTTTCATATTATTGTGTCTACACATTGAAAGAGGCTCTCCATGGGAGATACAACAATTAGACTACTGGGACTGACTAAAGTGTCTCTAAGAGTATATTACTGGTTTTTATATGACATCATCCAGATTTACATATACACTGGGGTGGAAAAGAGGTTCAAAGCTACAGAAGAAGATCAAGTTCAGAAGAAGATCAAGTTCCTTTCACTTCAAAAGAATGAAAATTTTTTTAAGGCTCTTACACTGAATCTCCTTGAAGAAACAATTCTGGTCTTTCTTTCAGCAAATTATCTTTAATCCATATCAACAATCTCCCAATATTCCCTGTAAAATCAATAAAGAAAAGAACTTGGTTTAACATGAAACTTTATAATAGTATGCTCATAATAAAATCGTGCACAAAGGCAGAATCTGACTGACCCTGTAGCAGATCCTGGTTTTCATGTCACTAAATGACTGCTAGTCTGATCTGCATTTGTCGCATCTTCATATTTACTTCTACAGGTACTCGGATAAAGTGAACTAAGATTGGGGATTTAGGGTTTAGACTAAACCACAAGTGTACCTCACAATTTTAACAGCAAAAAAGCTGTAAATTAGCACACTTTATAGGATGCAAAGCAGCCTTAAAGGACTTTTTCAAAAGTCTAAAAGAACCTTTGTTTGAGATTTTTTACAGTCACTCACTAGAACTTGGACATTTTATCCACACACTGCCCCACCCCTGAGGATGGCAGGATTTTGAAAAGGGGTTTTCAATATTCTCTTGACAGAACCCTTTGGACATATTTTCAAAAGTGCCAACAAAATCCAAACTCTTGGAAGTTAATTTTTCAACGGATGTCAACAAAAAATTGAGGGTTTGGATGCCAGCCATCTTTGGGGAGGTGGGGTGGGGGAGGGGGATGGGCAGGAGAGGATACAAAATGGAATTCCCTACCTGACAATGGGGCTGTATAAAATGTAGACTGCGGACTATTGTTTATTTAGGGTTAGAACACAATGGGACTGTTATTGTCACGTTCTAATTCGCATGGTGAAAATAATAGTCTGCAGGCTGCGTTTTACACTAACAGTCTGACCATTCAAATTCCGGTTGGTGTAAAATGCAGACTGCGCACTACTGTTTTCACCATGCGAATTAGAACGTGACAACAATACTCCCATTGTGTTCTAACCCTAAAAACAATAGTCCGCAATCAGTCTACAGTCTGCATTTTACACTGCCCCATTCAAATTTCCTGATCTGACTATTCTTTGACTTCTTATGCGATAACTGCAAGTAGAAATTAATACTTATACTCGTCTTCCGGGCATAAAGTATTTTAAAAATCGTATCCCGCTACTGGACATACAGTTGCGGTGTAAATCATCTGCCATTGAAATGGCAAATCTTACTCACATGGATTCTCGTCCTTCGGTAAAAGCACCTCGTGTTCCTTCACTTTGTTGAATAAAAGCTCGGCTCCACCACTAAACCAAAGAGAAAACTATCATGAAAAGTTCTCGGCTTTTGTAACGTTTCTTGTGATCAAATTCTTAGAGGAAATCTCACCTAAATTGCACGGAAATTTTAAGTCCGTCCGCCATTTCTCAAGCTCATGGGCACATTTGAAGTGAATTAATCCGCTGGGCAAAATTTCGCGGGGATACCATTTTGCCGCTCTTTTTGGTCTTCACCAGACAGGACCTCCTTTTCGACTTTTTCTTCGTTTTCTTTTTTATATATGGCTTATTTCTCTTTGTTCAGTTTGCGCTCGATAGAAAGGTAGAAAGGAAGAAAGAATTTTAGGTCTGTTGTATCCAAAAAAATGTAGCCTGTATGTTGCGTAGCAAGAGTTTCAGCTGGAAAGAAAGCGAGCAAAAAAGGAAATAGTAAAGTCATAAAAGAAATGAAAGAGCATGAAGGGCAAAGGAGAAGAGGAAGCACTTTCCCTTTTCCCTCCAACCTCCTATTTATTCCTGTTTTCCCTTCTCGCTCCAACTTTCTTAACGAACTCGAGCGTGGAAACGATTTTTAGACAGGCCAGAACAAACGCATTTAGTATTAACTGATTTTTAACTCACAAGAAAAACCATCTAAGGTAATTATAAGCGTTCTTGCCAGGGTCGTATCCAGCAATTTCCATGTGGTAGCACAGCTTTCCAACTTTGCTCCTTATCAGTCTGTGGAAAACATCTTGGACGTTTGACTGTGTTCTTAAGGCAACGGTGACCACGGACCTTCCTACGATTTTGTGTGGTGAAATGAGGCAAAAAAACTACATTTTGTTTGAAAAAATTACTTGCAAACGCAAATAAACACAAATTTACCTTTTTTTTCGTCATTTTTTCTCGCCCCATGCAAGGAAATCTGAGACAGTCTTGGATTTTGGATTCCGCGCCGTGGATTCCGGATTCAAATTACTGGATTCTCCATCTTTACTCAGTGGATCTTGGATTCCGGATTCCGGATTTCAACAGTTGTATTCCAGATTCCAAGGCCGAGGATTCCGGATTTCGCAAGGAAAAATTTTCTGGAATTTCCTCACATGGGGAGATTTTTCTATATATTTTTAGTTAAAGTTGTACAAGTGCGCAAACACACCCCAATCTTGTTCCCCGAGGTTGCGATCCTGCGATCAGCAACAGGGATGCTTGTTTCGCTGGAAAAGAGTACTAAAGGTTCTGGCGACGAAATTTGCTACGCCAATCCTAGCATTCCTTCGTGGCATGACCTGTAGCTTTCGCGTGACATTGCTATTGTGACGTCATTTCAATTTGTTCGTTCTAAACTGTCCATACTACGCAGAGAAATGACATCTTATTTCAGTGGACCTTTATAAAGGTCAAGTATGACTTTTTCAGTAAAAACCACAGTTAAAGAAAAAGCCATTTGCAAGGTAAGTCTTCTCACTTTTAAAGAATGTTTTACTGGAGTTTGGAAATAATTCATTGACTAGAATTTTAGCTTTGGACCGGTTTTAATGTTTATTTTAGTGGAGAATCAGCTGTTCTTGTCAAGATGGACATTGTTCTTCCAAGATTGCAGCGGAATCTGCGCAGTATAGGAAAACAGTTAAGTAGGATAAAATAGGATTTACCCGCTCTAAAAATTAGCCTGTTCGGGTCTTTGAGATAGTAGAGTGCGGCGAGAAGTTAGGGAGCAGGGGGAAACAACAAGGAGACAGGGAGCGCTTTTCATTTAGGAAAAAAAAACTGGAAATTTCGGTGGGAGCAAAAGTGGAATTTTCGATTGGTAAAAAGTTGTTCCATTTGGTCGTAAACCCGGTACATCGCGGTGCCCGACAGATTTTCTTGCCGTGGACCTGGGACTGGTACAAACTACGAGAAACGTGTAAATGGAACACGAAATTCCGTTCGGAAATTCCAACCGGGAAAATGGGCCCACCCTTTTAGATTTTCCACTTTTTCTGGGAATTTTTCTGTGGGACGAACCGACGAAACGTGTTCCATTTAACGCCGGGCCGGAAATTTTGACTAAGTGGAAAGCGCTCAGGGAGAAGGAGGAGGAAGGAACGCCTGTGAGATTCGTTTTCAAAAGGTCATTACATCTCTTTGCGCCGGCCGTCCCCACAACCTAAAGATCTCTGAACGCCTGGAACAGGCTAAAAATAAAGGAAAGAAAAAGAAAGGCTTTCTGCGGAGATAAGTAGAGATAAATTCTGAATCACGTTCACTTCAAATGGCGAACGTCAAAATGTACCTAACAGCCTGTTCCATGCTCCGAGATAGTCGGGTCCACGAAATTGAGAAAGTGCGAGTACGAAAATAAAACCCAAATCACGCGCTCATATTCTCGCGGGCCTTTTACTAACGCGTCATCTCCACTATATTAGAGACTGGAGCAGGCGAGAATTAATGTACCCCGTGATCAAGTTTCCCTCTATTTGTTGTAAAATACTGTGATAATTTTATGGACGGACACAAAACTGAGTTTTGTTTCACGCTAACTGACTCAATCTGACGCGATTTATGGCATTATATGACCATACCATAACCATAAAAAATGCGCTTAGCCTTGCTAAAATGAATTTTTCCGTTGGTTTGTCTGTTATAGAAAGACGTTGGCAAAAAAATTTGGAAGAGAACTACCGTATTTAGTCGAAAACGCGCTGCAGCGCAAAAATTCGACTTGACAATACTGCCTTTGCTGAAGGCGACACTTATCTAAAACTTCGCCAATAACTGACTTAATTTTTTCTTATTGTTCTTTATTATTAGTTAAAAAAATAAGGACAGAAAAAAAAGAATAAATAAAAAAAAACGTTTCGGCAAGGTTTCGAAAGTTACTTCAAGTAGTTGTCCTATTACATTGTTGCCGGGAGTGTGTAGTGCTTTTTCGAAAAGGAAGCTCTTTCTACTAAATACGGTATTTTAATTAGGAAATTAAAAGAAGACATGCGTTTAATACTCTATCCCTTTATAACGTGGAGGTGGGGGTTGGGGGTGTTGAATATATATGTGGCTCTACACGTCACGGTTATGTAGTGTATGTCCCATTCTACCAAAATTCTACTAAATTAAGGCTCATTAATAACGAAATGGTCACTGAGAAAAGATGAAAGTCTACGGCAAAAATATGTTGAGGAACTTGTTTGTTCGCTGCTTGTTTTCCTAGGCCTCCCTACTCTAACACTTTTGTTAGAGAGTCCAGACTAATAACATTGTTTACGTCACTGCAGGATTCGTAGTCTCCCTTCAAGGATTCGACGAGGGCTGAGACGGTTTTTTGCTCGCCTGGGCAGGTCACGAGACTCCGAGAGAAAACTGAAGCGGTTTCAGAGCAGCATGGAGAAGATCTTTAGCGTTAATAGCCGGGGAAGTAGGGGACCGGAATCCTCGGGGTTTATAAGTGACGAGGAAGATTTGGATGATAATACCCCACCGGACTATAGTAACTCGCAGCTCAAAATCAAACTTACATCAGTCAAACCAGGAGCCTTGTTGACCGAAACCGACGAACCTGTCGAGATTGAAATGGTAGTTCTCAAATAAGCTTTGCAACAGCAGTTGTAATACAGCAGATCAGAATCAAAATCTCTGATACTGTGAGAAAATGAATAAATGATAAGTATGGTGATATGATGCCTTAATCTGAAAGCTTTGGGGCTCCATTATCTCTTGCTGAGAAGGCGTATTCAGTACAATACAGACAACTGAAAATGCAAGGTTACACGTAGAACTAGTCCCCTATAGGGCTAGAGTAGGATGAACAGTGTAATCGATCTAGGTATTTGGAAATAAAAAAGGGCGTGTATCCTCTGCAATTTCAAATTTGTTTCAGTAAAGATACCCATATTCAAGCTTCGGCTACCTGTGGTAGAACTTTAGAGGGTGATCGCAGGGGAAATGCTTAACCCTTAACCAGAAACTTTGGGGAAGGATTGGGGGATGAGAATGAAAGAGAGTGCGATCAGACAGAGAGCTAAGGACTACCCCCAACACTATTAGCCTCTTGGCTGATTAAGCATCAGTTGAAGTACAGGGATTTGTATGAAATTCTTTGATAACTGTTGCGGTTTCGAGCGATTTTTATGAAATGATTTGAAACCGAATTTTTGAGGGTCTCCATTTTCTACTCTATGTACTGTATTGTAGGAAACGAAGAGTTTAGTCCTATTGCTTGGTACAGTGGCATATTTTGAGCGCGTCGACAGTATTCTGAATACCACAAGTCAAGGAGAAAGGGCACGATTATAACTTTATGGTGGACAAATTGTCAGTATCGCTTCTCGCTTCTTTTAGCTGCCTCGTTCAAAGGACGAGAAGCGATCAATTAGTGAAACATAATATATAGACTTAGCCAGGGCTAAAAGCGAAGCTCTCGTTAATATCCTTATAATTTACTCAAGCGGGGGTACTTGAATGCGAAATTTTAACCCCGGCTTACATGTTGGAGCGGACGTATGTACATACGGTCACGTGACTGCCAACGTTTTCTTGCATCAGTAGGTTTCCAGACTCCATTCCGAAAGAACTTTTCACTTAGTTATATCATTCTTTTGTTCTCCGCACTTTAAGGTTATGTTTCACACCTTCGTTTTTTATCTCGTCTATAGGGGGTCATATAGTCTTCGTTCATTCGCATTTCGATCCTCTTGATTTTGATCTAAACATGGTAATAAACGCTGATAAATGAGTCTTATCTCTCATATAGTTGCAAGCGGATGCGCTTAAGCTTTTAAGCGTCAACAGGGACTAGGCCCCGGTTTTTCAAAAGCTGGAGGGATAACGCTATCCACTGGATGAATCTTTGACCAGTGGATAACGCAATTGGTTTCTGTAATCACTTATCTACTGGATAGTGCTATTCAACACTTGAACAGGTTCGTAGCCAGGACTGTATAACAAAAAGTACAATGGTGAGAGTGTTTTGTAATCAATTTTTTCCCCCAACCGGGTAGCTAATATTATTTCTTGGTGTAGTAGATCTATGAATACAAATAAAAATGGAAACTTTTGACTTTCAGAAACTTAAAATTACTAGCTTACAATTACTAACAATTCTAATCGGTATTACTTTACTTACTTTATTTAAATTCAGTTAACCTTGTTTTACTTTGCTATTGCTTTGAAAAAGAAATTTAATGCTTGAAACGCACTTTTAAAGTTTCGAAAAACAGAGTTATCTTGCACTATTTTTTAAGCAGTATTAGCGTTTGAACGGAAATGAAACAGTAAAAGTATCAGAGAAGGAGAACACAAATTTAAATCGCGCCTCTATTTAAGTGGCGTCCGTCGATCGGGAAAGGAACGAAGTGGCGGGAGGTTATAAAGCATGTTCTGTTTAACAGGGACGTAGCTAGCCCATAGAGCTGTAGGCCCGGGCCTGCAAATTTTTGGTTTGATAACTCTACCGCTTGTAATAAATTATTATGCGTTGTTAGATCTCAAAGGCTCGGTGTAGTCAGTGCGTACTAGTCATGCGTACAATTTTCTGGATATGTGGAAAATGAAAGTCAGCAAGGCCTACAACTAGTCGAAAAGTTGGCCACGCCCCTGGTGAACCAAATGCAACGGTCAAACCTCAACCTGAAAACCACACAGGAAGCAAAACTCCTTGAAAGTAAGGTGAAGTAACCTACGGCAATATTTCTTTGATACTCGCTTATAATTCGCAGTCGTAGGTTCTTTTGACTGTCGCGTAACCAACACACCATACAAGCACTACTAATCACTTGGGCTACCATGTGGGCTACCTATGGTAAAAGAGAGACTAAATATTGCAATTTTTAACCTAAGTTATACAATAAAATGTTAAACACATTTAATTACATTCTTCCGAGAGTTGCGATATAATCTTATGTAAAAGAGGACGTGTGTACGGAAAACGGTAGAGCTGACCATACGACTAATATATAACAATTATTCACCGAAGTGGAGGTGGCTAGTGATGGATATTTACCGAAGCCGCGTTAGCGCCAAGGTAAATATCCATCACTAGCCACCTCCACTTCGGTGAATAATTGTTATTTAGCCAGGGCTGAAAGCGAAGCTCTCGTTAACATACATTAAGTTTAACTCAAGCAAAAAATAAAATTGTGTAGTGCCAAATTGCAACGGCAACGAGAACGGCAAAAAACATAAACAAAAACAACACAAAGAAACAATTTAACCTTCAGCGACGCAAAAATCCATATTTGAGAAAACTGCAAAAATCAATTGGTTTTTACATTATAACACTTCCTATAAAGCTTACAACTTAAGCTCTGAAAAGATATTGATCAAAAATCGAAGCAGCGAACTACCTTAACCTGCAAGTTTGTTTCATGACCTGGTGGACCAATAACATGTGGCTTTGCTAACCGAATATGAACGAAAACGTTAACTATTAACTAAAGTGAAATTTACTTGCTGGATACCAGTGTAATAGTGGTGAGCAAGGTACGAAAAATGCTGACGTGCAGAATTGGACATCACATTAAAAGTTACGATTCAAAGTTATGTTGTAGACGGCAACGAGAACGTAAAAAAAAACAATAGGTTTTATAACCAAACAACAACTTTGCAAGTGCATCGCACTTTTTTGTACATTTCGACGTGAAAATGCCTAATTTCGCGTTTTATGGAGAACGTAAACAAGCAACGACGAAATTTAATTTCTTTTTCTGAACTTGGATATGGTCCCTGGGAATTCAACTCAGGAGGGTTCGCCTACATTCGATAAAGAAAGTGGGTAGGAATGATTTCGATAAAAATTGAAAGAACGCAAGTTCACTTTTTAAGTAAGGTTCTTGTCGTCGTCGCGTCGTTGGATCTTAAAGTCCCTAATGACGCTGTTTCTGCAACCTAGTCCATTTCAAGATTCCAATGCTATTGATTGCGTGCGCTCAATTTGGAAGTTCCAGGATGCCGAAGAATGTTTCTCACCAAAGACTTGACGCCTTTCAAATACAATTCCATGCAACGCACAGATGTTCTGTATTGCTGAACTGTTTTAAATGTTTCGTTCATCTCACAAAATCAAAGCTGTCAGCTGCCAGTGTGTGGTTGGGTACCCCCAAACTTTTCACGCCTTATGTCAAGTACCAGCTCGAGCGATTTGAAAAAGAACTGAATTATAGTCTTTCACCTCTCCCCTTTGACGTTGAGGTTATTAAAGCTGTCGGCTGTTTCTGGGTTTTATGCCTTAGTGTTTCAGGACGGTGTTGCATTGAGTGCTCACTAGTGCAACTATAGGGCTGAAGAATATTTTCTCAATGGTTCTGATGCAGTAACAATATTATTATAGCTGGTTGTTATGCGTAATAATCGCTTGGCTGAAGCTGAAGTATACCCCTCCAATTTTAGTTGAGTAATCAGGCTCGTGTTATTATAGCTGTCAGCTGTGTGTGGATGGTCATTCCCTAGTGTTCCACGTGTTATTTCAAGAGCTCGCCGGTGTCACTGAAGGGATGATGTATAGTCTTCTACTGTCGTCCTGCTGTCCTGTGTGAGTCCAATGTTCATGTTATGATAAATGTCAGATATTTTGGGGTGGTTATTCCCCAGTGTTTGTCGTAATATTGCAAGTGCCTTTTGATGTGATTACAGCGCTGAAGTAGGATCTTTTAGTTCTTCTTATATGACAACAAGGCCATTATAGTTGTCATCTGTCTTTGGCTGGTTATTCCCACTCTTCTAGCGGCTCCGCCGCCAAAACAGCACTCACACCAGCCTCCTCCTCAGGCGCGTCGTTTTTCGCATGGCAGAGGCGAGCGCGAAACGAGTGACTGGTGATGAACCGCAAGGGCGCACATTTTCATCAAAAGAGAGACGTCTGGGTACGAGGCAGGCACTCACACGCTAATCACGCAGGCTATCAAGACCTCGCTGGAGTAAATGAAGGGCTGACGTATAGTTTTCTAATTCTATCTGGGCGGTTTTTCCACTGTTTTTATAGTTGCGAGCTGTGATTGGGTGGTTATCCCCTAGTTTTTCACCTCTTATTATAAGTGCTCGCTGAAGCGACTGAAAGGCTGGAATAGAGTTTCGTAATGATTTATGGGTGCGTCCAATATTATTATGTAGCTGTTAGCTGTGTTTGGGTGGTCAGCTTCAAGACAAAGTGCTTCACGTCTTAAATTTTAAGTGCGCTCTGGTGTGAATAAAGGGTTGAAAAGTGATCTCCCAATCTGTATTGTCTGTTGCCAATTGCCTGTTGCCTATAACTTTTGGTTGTCTTTGGGTGGTTATCACCAAGTCCCTCACGTCTTATTTCAAGTGCTCGCTGATGTGACTGAAGAGCTTTAGTGTAGTCCATCATTTCATATTGTACTTCTCCCACTGAAAAGTAGCTGGTGGCTGTATCTTCATGCCTTTCACTGAGCAGCGTCGTTCTTAAGTCAAGAGCTCGCTGATGCAAATGTAGTGCGATAACCAGGTCACCTGCATCGATTGCTTTGTTTCCATGGTCAAAGTAACGACTTGCCTCTTTTAGAAGTTGTTCTTTTAATCTGCAAAGAAGTTTCCTTAATGAATTTTTGTGTTTCTGCACATCTAATGGATAATCAAGAATAATCGTTGATACATGATTGTGCAGCTGAAGAGATGATTTGTAATCTTGCGATAGTAATTCCTTTAATTGCCTCTCGTAGGGAAAGTCCTCTACCTCTTTTACTTTTTTTGCAGTCTTCTCCGTCCTTATTCGAATGGCATGCTCAAGTGAATGACCATCTTTTGTCAGAGCGCTGCCTGTCTCGACGTAACTGTTAGTGCCTTTATGCTTGGTGTTAACGCATTTCAACCAGATGTCTTGAGCTCGTTTAAGCAACTGAAGAGACAAGTTAAATCTCCAACGTTTGCTCTGTAGTAGACTCAGCTGAAACAGACTGTCGCCAACTGTTGCGTCTTCTTTATCCACTTTAAACTTTCGGATACCAAGAGCAAACTGGTGCATTACAAAAGCTGACGTGTGGTCATTTTTGCGATGAAAGACTCTTCCCAGCTCATAAAAGATGTCGCCTGTATCAATGTGTTGTTCTTGCTGTAGATCTCTTCTAACGGAGAGTGCACAGTTGAGAGACTCAACAGCTTGGTCAAAGTTTTCCATCTGATATTGCGTGCGTCCTAATTGGTAGTAGCTTTGAGCAATCTCTGCATGCGGTGTGTCTGTATACAGTACGTGTCTTATTTTCAGTGCTCGCATGTGATACTCAAGAGCGGAGTGATACCATCCCATTTCAAACTGCGTTACACCAATTTCATAGCAACTGTTGGCAGTGTCAGTGTGATGCTCACCTAGAACATCTAATCTGGTACTAAATGCATCCAGATGTGAATGTAGAGCCGCATGGTAGTCTCCCAGACAGAAGTATGTCTTTCCTATTTCATGGAGGCTGTCTGCCGTTGCAATTGAATTTTCTCCTATCTCATCTTGTACGATTGATAGTGATTTCTCGTGTGAGTCAAGTGCACACTCGTATTTCTCCAGAAACCACTGTGTAACTCCTAACTCATGAAAACTCTTCGCAGTGTCTCTGTGCTTATCACCCAGATTCTCTAATCTGATTTGAAGTGCCTGCTCATGAGACTGCAACGCTGAGGAATAGTCTTTCATTTCCCATTGTGTTACCCCTAATTCATGATAGCTAGCAGCCACTTTTAAGGGGTTTTCTACAGGAAGATTTAACCGAATGTCAAGTGCACGCTGGTGAAAGAGTAAAGCTGAATTACAATCTCCTAGGGTCCTCATGATGTTCGCTAGTTCATGATAACCGTCGGCTGTGTCTGAATGTTCCTCGCCACATAGGTCTATTGTATAGTCCAGAGCGCGCCTCGCTGACTCAACGCTTACCTTGTAATCTTTGATTCGTGATTGAAGAACAGCGAGGTACGAGTAGCTTCTCGTCAATGCTTTCTTGTGGTCATCGTTGCTACTCTCGGCTTGGTCCACTGGATTTACATCGTTGACTAAAACCTTCTCCTGAGCATCGATTAAATTCTGAATTAATTGGATTGCTTCTTCGTATCTGGTCATCTCTGCAAGTACACCAGCGATAAACCGATGGAGATAAAATGAACCACCTTTAGTATATGAGAGGAGGTTTGGATCAGTATTTTCTTTCATCTGGAGAACATTCTCTTCAAAGGATTTCATTCTTTCAGCTGACGAGAAAAGCTTGGTTGCCTTGGTAATAAGGAAATGTACCTCCAACACCAGCGGCAGATTTTGTTCATCAGTGTTTATTTTCTCTTTCGCGCTAAGAAAAAGGTGATAGTTCTTCCAAGCTTTACACTCGTCTCTTGCATTTTTGAAAAAATTGGTAGCCTCAGTTTCATTGGCTGTTGATTCATAATATATGGCAACAATCTGAAACATAATGGTCTTTAAGATTTTCAGCGTGGGATCAGTTGTATCCTTTAAATGCGCGAGAGACTCTTTGAGATTTTCAACACCATCCCTGATATGTCCATTTGAGAGCTTGTGGATTCCAAGACAGAAAAATAATTTTCCTTTCTGTTCATCTGAACTGCTGGCCAGAACTTCGTTTGCTTTAGAAGAAAGCAGCTGCAATGTTTCTCCTTCTTCTGATCGCCAAGCTACTTCACTGAATCCCTTCGCAAGCAACAAGTGATTGTAGTTGGTCATATTATCATGCTGTGTTGCCTTAGTTAACGCGGTATCATAGATTTTGTCAAAGGAAGCTCGGTCGCTCCACAAAACCGTGTCTAAAAACAACATTCCCTGAGTCAGGGCTTTAAAAACATTGTCGCGTGTTGAACCGTCTGAGCAACCGTCAATTAGACTTGAGATGATATTCTGTTTGTGTTGATAAAAATCCATGAAAGCGGACTTGGACTGTCCTGAAAGAAAGCGTTCATTGAGGGTAGTGAAAAGCGAGATATAGAATTGCCGTAATCGGGCTTTCGACTTGAAAAGAACTTCCTTCATTTGCTGTTCTCCCTTTTGCTTCGCAAATAGGTGAAGAATTTTGGGAATTTTGTATGATCCTGTTTTCAAGTACGATTCTATAAGTGACTTTCGCTGAAAGCTCCTCAGGGTCCGTTCAGCATCATCCACTGATATTTCCCACACAGCTGCAGCAACGTCCACAGAAAAAATGCCAGGAATCACGGACAAGGATAAGTAGTGTTCTTGGTTTTGCGGTGACAGTGTCTGGTATGATGATTCCAAGATGAAATTCAGTCTGTCATGTTTTAATTCCTCTTGATCATCCATCCGAGAAAGATCACTTTTAATCAAACGGATGAAGTTGTCTATTGCTTGGTTTAAAGGCAACTTTTCCTTTTGGGGCATATTGTTGCAAAATAGCCGAATGGCAAAAGGCATATGTCCACAAAAATTTGCGATATTCCTACAGTTTGCATCACAGGCATAAGGAAACCATTTCCGCACTAGTTTCTCAGAAGATTCGTGATCTAAATTTAATGCTACTTTCACTATCTTTATTCCTAGCGGCTGTAACGTTGTAAACTCGGATGATTCCCTCGAAGCAATCAGAATTTTTACAGTTTCACAGTTTGTTAAAATCTGCCTTATCAAGTGAATAAAGCGATCTCTTGATTCTGATTGCAATAAGCAGTCGGCATTATCTAGAATGAAACAAGGTGAGACAGAATCTTCAATTAAGCTAAACTGTTTCAAAAGGAAGTCAGTGGCGTTTAATGGTCCCAGACGCTGATCGCAGAAAAAGCGCAGAATGCCTGATATAAGGTCGTCCTCTTTGTCAATGTTGATAAGGTCAATATGATAAATTGCCTTTCCTTGGGATTTGAGATTTTGTCCCACTGCTTTTGAAACTTCAGATTTGCCAGATCCTGGTGGGCCATAGACGGAGATGATACGGGTTGACTCGGTCTTCAAAAGGTTTGCGATCTGCTCAACCTCTTTATCGCGGCCAATAAAGTTGCAGTCATTGGAAGGTATTTTGGGTTCGCCTTGCAAAATCTTTGTGCCTTATATAAAGATAACAATAAAATATTTAATTCACTGTATGAAAAGTAGTTACCTGGGTATTAAAGGGACACAGTCAGCTGATTCACATGCGCATTTCATTGTTTCTTAGCTGATTTGCATATCACAAGACACGCGCGTGAAACAGAAAGTGAGAAGCGCATCTGGAATACTCTAAACAAAACTTGTAGAGTTCACCTAGTTACAAGCCGAAATCCTGATTATAGACCCTATGCCGTATCAGAGCACTCATTATATATATATACATATATATATATATATATTTTTTTTCGTTGATTGTTCTTTTAAAATGTACGTCGAAATCGATCGTTATCAGGAGCAAATAATCGTTATATATATATTTGGAGAATCGCTGGAAATGTTACATATGTTTGGAAAGTCAAGCTTTCTCGACCTTGAACCTTCGACAATGATTCATGCAGACTCCGTGTCATTTCTCAGCTCAACTAATGATCGAATTCAGAAGTATTCGTCCATGTTCGGCTTTCCCTGGACAAATCCATCAGTGAATTCCTATATATATAATATATATAACACGACGTTTTGATGACACCATGTCATCATTATCAAATGCGAAGAAAATTAGCATGAATTGGTGATATATATACAGAAAAAGAAAGTGTCAGGAATATGTAAAAACTTGTAAAGTTAAATCGAGGCGTGAAAATGGAGCAAACTAACAATTAAATAAAAAGTTTCGCCCGGATGGAGTCCGCTTGAGTGTTTAATTTGGGTCTTGAGTTTCTGATGATGCTCGCCAATGTCACTGGTTTATTTTATTTTGTTATTTTTGTAAACGAAGGCGATTTCTCTACCCCGGGGCCTACGCGTTTCTCACCTCTTCTGTTCATGTTCCTTTGGATACTGTTTTTAGCCAAATATGATAAAATATTGTTATAGCATGAGTAAAGTTTGCTAAAAAAGACGTTTTCTGTAAAAGATCGAGGATCGAATGAAACACTAGGAAAGATTGAGGCGGATTTCTAGATGTATCCTACGCGTACATTCGATAAACTGGCAAAAGTAGTGTCCAGGTCAGCGCGGTCCAATAGCTGACTGTGTCCCTTTAAGGAATGCGTTTCATACCCTACTGTAAATACAATCGAACCTCTTACAAGCAGCCACCCTCTGCTTAGTCCCTGACAATGATGATAAAGAACGGTACCTATTTTCGACCCTTGGAGCCAGTGAATCACGGATAGATCAGAGAGGTGAGACATGATCAGACTGACGTTAGCCTGGGAAAGGTACACTTTACTCTTAGTAGCTTTAGTATGCAGTCCGTCATCTCACCAGCTTTTTTATACCCAGATTAATGACAGCAGAAGACAGATAGAGCCTACTCTTTTCGAACAATGTTGGGAGTTCATCTAGTTTCCCTCCCTGTATGAGGACGAAGGAGATAAGGATAATGACGCAATCATCTGAGTGGAGACCCAGGTTGGCGGTCAGGAGGAAATTTGAACTCACGACCTCCCACAGAGCAGCCCGGCACTCTTCCAACTGCTCTAACCGTCCTGTGGTTCTATTTACTAATACAGTGATCTAATGACAGTTTTGTTCCCGGGAATTAACAAACTCGCCACTTAATGGTGGCTGGCTGCCTGACAGTAGGATCGACTGCACTGCCTTGATTTCTTATCTCCCGAGCTTTCCCGACAATGTCAAATTGCTCTATATACGAACTTACAATTGGACTGCTCTCCGGTTGCTCTCCAGATTTGGCTCGATTTGAACATTGCAAACGTTAAGGCGATGTCAAAGGTCAAGGTTTAAGCCACGTATTATTATTGATATTATTATTACGGTTATTATTCATTCTTTTGTTTTTCCTTATTGACATGTGTTGATAAAATTCATTGCAAGGATCGTTAGTATCTGATAATTTTGATGAGAAACTACGTTTTGCAAAACTTAACGTTCATGACAAATTTTCTCCCTTGCAGCTTGAGGGAGACAACGTATTGCGAATTTGTTCCAAAATATGGGTATTTGGTCCCCGAAAAACTACAAACAGTTAGTTAGTTAAAAGGTAACGTGATATTTTCCAATTTTGCAATTGGCCTAAAAAGTCATTATGACACCAATAATTTATTCCTAAAGGAAGACTTACCTGAATTTGTACGCGTTGATAATTCTTTACTCTTTTTTCGTAAAACGTCCTCCAACTTCTGCATTTTCTCCTTTTCCGATTGAACTGGTTCTATTGATAGGGCTACAAAGTTAAGAGGAAGTTCAGAAAGATATATAGCCTTTAATAGTCACATTTCAAGGCTCAGGTTGTCATATGAGAACTATGAGTACATGTACTATGGACATTAAGATCACAGGTATCAACCGGGCTTAACACAGAGGTCGAAGATGTCATAATCGCCACGTCACGAGCGCGGGGCAAAGAAAAACGTTTAACTCTTTGACGGACGCTTTGGTCGTTTTTGTTCCATGCGGGCGATGCATATTTTCCTTCCTGGTTGGGGGACAGGGTCGGGTAAGATGTCTGTGTAGATGTGCGTTTGTGAGCTCCGTGTTGGAAGTTTCATTTATTGCGAAAAACTCTTGTCGCTTGTAGCTAAAAGTTGAACTGTGATAAAAGGTAGGTCGCGTTATTTCAGTCGGGCGCAGCCGAACTTTCTGTTTGTTGATAGTAATCCTATTTAATTTATCAAACCTTGTAAGCCGCCAAGACTTAAGGTGGCTCGACCCAGTATTTTTGTAGGTACACCTTCCATCTTTGAATCTCTTATACCAAAACAAAATGATCTTTGTTGTAAAAACATTACAACACATGTGTTACACATAGACTAAACTTTATTATGATATTATTTTTTGCGTGATCGGAATAAATATCACGTGATAAAGACGTCAAAATTGTTTTAGCTCTAAATCGAATTTCTGCCCTTATCGGCATTTTCTTTGGAAATACTTTACGCTACGTAAACTTTGGGTGTTTGTCTTCAGTCACGTGCAAAGTTTCACAAAAATCTATGAGAAGAATTTCGAGGTAACTTTGAATTTCTACAAAATGGGTATGAATTATGCATGAACTGAAGGCTGGACTTAATGTAGACACATTTTCTACCTTGCGGAGGTTCCCGAAAAGTTTTTATCACTCATTCGTTTTGCAGATGACCTTTATACACTCTACAGCCGGATAAACGCAAGTAGACTTGCGCGATTTCGCGCGATTTTAAACAACAATGAAGATATTGATGACTTCGTCAACACCTGGAGTAAACTGTTTTCAGAGGTTGCGGAAGCTCATGCTTCAATAAGAACAAGGCGGGTCAGAGGTTTTTCTATTCGTTGGTTGAACCTTCACATTACAGAACTTGTGAATAAGCGCGATTACCACCTGAAGAAAGCCAAGGGAAATAAATGCAGCACTCACCGGCGTTTATACCGTGATCCACGAAATAAAGTCACCCGAAGCATCAAGAAAGCAAAATCCGATTATTACACCAGGGGCGTTCGTGGGCATTTTCCAGCTTTAAGCCCGCCACCAGAATGTTGCTGCTCTCGCTTACGAATTTACACCGGTAAAAGACCTGGATTTTACAGGCCGTAAAGCAAATTAGATGGACCTATGAGTTACAATCAGTGCACGTAAATTTTGCATTTCCCTATTTATATATAATGTGATTAACGCAAAAACAAACAAGGTTTGTGTACATGTGTTCAGAATTCAAATGCCAATCTGCGTGGTTTCTTGGCGCAGAACTTCTGGACCCGCTTGTCTGTGTCGACGCTCATGCCTATGTACGCATGTAGAAGCGCGAGCCCAGAAAGCCTCTCTGCTTGCATAGTCGCGCGCAAGTACGTCTTGACTCTTCGCAAGCAACAAAGTAATCGTTCGAGAGTTGTTGTCAACAAAGTATCGTCCAAATAATTGTGAGGATAGCAGTGACGCTGGGGTGCAGCTTCATATTCCTGAGGTACAGGGTATCTTAAAGAGTTGATGGTTTCTTTGAAGCAAGCTGCCGCCACTTTGACATCCACCTCACAATTTCGACATCAAAAATGACCCTCTCTGTCAAGTCGTTGGCGTAGGTGCAATAGATCCTGTCTGTTGTATCCACATTGAGTAAGAAGAGCGTTGTGGGGATGAGATGCTGCCCGAGGAATCGATCATGCTGTTTCAGCAGCCTTTCACTGAGCTCTTGTATCAAGTGATCTGCTAGAGATAAGTAAAGTGCTCTTCGCCAGTACTGTTTGGGTGTGTTGATTTGCTGTCAGACGCGTTATTCGCTGATCATTGTTCCACTCCCCTGCCATTTCCTTTGCTCTTTCCAACTGCTCGTCCCACAACATCTTTTCATCTCGCCCCTCTTGAAGTACATTAATCACAACCCGAGATTTGTTTGCTGCTTCAATCACGTCTTGGTTTTTGCCTTGAAGCATGTTTGATAGGGCAACTGTCTGAGACAGACTGCCATGCTCTGTTGCACAGAGGCAAATTATAAAGTCAAAATGTCTTATTGATCATAGGTAAATCCTTGCCTTGCAGTCTCCACCCGAAGGAAGGCTCTCCAAAACCTGCACGACAACCCTGAATACTGTACGAAAGGTGAACAGAGAATCTGCCCTGCTCGCCCAACGAGTGTCGCACAATGTGCATAGCTTCGTTCTTCTTTGCATTTCCTCTCTAACAGCATCATTATCAGCAAAGGATTCCTGGAACGCCAAAATGCGTTTCGAAGAATAGTCAAACGAGAAAGCAATCCGCTGCAACGTACTCAAAATATTTCTAATGAGGAACTGCTCGCATTCGTGGCCGAAGGCCAAGTTCAGAGAGTTCGCCTTACGGCAATGAACGTATATTGCTTGTGGTATACGTTGCTTGATTATGCCCCCTGCACTGTTTTGTGACGCCTGTCTAGACTTTGAATGTAGAAGTACAGTGTAGGAGTGCGGCAGGACTCTGTCTTGAGGAGCTTCATACCATCAATGACTCTTTCTGCAAACTTTTTTGGAATATGACAACACACCAAAAAAAATTGATTTTTTTTTAATTTGGCCGTTCGAAGAAAAGAAGTCCCAGAAAAATCTTTTAGGCCCGTGCTTAACTGGCTTACAGTCAGGTACGCCCTGTACACTAACGTAATAACAGACAGTAGTAAATCAGGCGCTAAAGACTTTTGGAGAGCTTTCAAACAAACTCTTCCCTCTGGTAAAACGTCCTCTAGAATTACAAGTCTGCTAGCTGATGGCACCCTCATCACCTCAGCCCATTCTATTGTCTCGGCTTTTAATACTTTCTTTGTGAACGTGGGGAAATCCCTGGAGGAAAAGTTTGTTCCTGAGCCGTATACAGCTAAAACTAGGAACTGTCATTCTACCTTTTCATTACAACCGATTAGTGAAGATTTTGTTGGAGATCTATCAATCTATTAAGAACTTAAATAAGGCGGTTGGTCTTGATAAAATCAGTGCACGTCTCCTAAAAGATGCTGTAGATGTTATTACTCCTTCTTTAACAGCTCTGCTTAATTTATCTCTTCAAACAAGATCTTTTCCTTCTATATTATATGGAAAAAAGCGAAGGTTTTACCCTTGTTCAAAAAGGGCGATAAACAGGATGCTTCTAATTACAGTCCGATCTCCATTTTGCCGACCTTGAGCAAACTCCAAGAGAAGGTGGTTCATACTCAGCTGTATGCCTACCTAACTGAGAATAATTTAATTTCACCGAACCAGTTTGGATTTAGATTGAAATCATCTACTGTAACTGCCGCTTCTCAGCTTTCTGATCAAATCCTTTACTCCTTAGACACTGGTTGCCTGACTGGTGCTGTGTACTTAAGTTTAAGTTTAAGTTTAATAATACTTTGTCATGCTAATATACAAGTAAATAAATTACAGAAAATACAAAAAGGGTATGACTGGAGAATAATTGGGGGAAACTAAATTCCCATACAAAGAAAATTCTCCAATACTAAAGATACTAAAAATTAAGAGGTAAAATTTAAATACGGCCCAAAGCTAACCTAGTTAAAGTGCATACTTGTCACTCACGAGTTACACCTGATTTAAAATTGACACAAATGATCTAATAGATAGGACTTAAAACTGCTTAATGAAGGTGCATGCATGTGAGCATCTATGTCACACGCTAACCCGTTTAACACTTTTAATCATACAAGAAGCTTTTAAGTCTTGCTGTTGATGATACTGCCAAAGCCTGGTTTACCTCATTTTTAACGAATAGAAAACAAGTGAGCAACTGCAATGACGGTATGCTCTGAAATTGCGCCTGTTTCGATTGCTGTCGTGCAAGGCTCTATATTAGGCCCATTATTATTGATAACTTACATGAAGGTAGCAAATTTGTCTGCATTAAGTCCAGCCTTCAGTTGATGCATAATTTATACCCTTTTTATAGAAATTCAAAGATATCTCGAAATTCCTCCCATCGATTTTTGTGAAACTTCACGCTACAGAAGACAATCCGGTCCAAAGTGTACGTAGCGAAAAGCATTTCTAAAGAAAATGCCGAAAAGGGCAGAAATTCGATTTAGAGCTAAAAATGTTGTGACGTCATTGTCACGTGATATTTATTCCGATCGCGCAAAAAAATAATATCATAATAAAGTTTAGTCTATGTGTAATACATGTGTCATAATGTTTTTACAATAAAGATCAAATTGTTTAAGTATATGAGATTCAAAGATGGAAGGTGTACTTGCAAATTAAAGTACTGGGTCGAGCCACCTTTGGTTAATTTATTTATCTACCTAGTTATTTCCAAAGTACGCGGAGCAAAACCAAAATGTTAATAAGATTGCAAGTTACCAGTCAAAGGTGGCACCTGGACCCTTTTAGTTTTCCATTTTAGCTATTAAAATGATAAACAGAAACGTCAGCAAAGATAGGTCTTTCCACCGATACCTCTTTTTGGAAATTCTGACCAATCCTAAAAGAGTTACACCCACAAAACCAAGTATCATTTTGGTAAAAAATTTACTGCCTATTTCGCTATAATGACTAATTACACTTTGCAGATTAATTTTGCCCCCTTTTCCCCCTTTGCGCAGTTCCACACGAAAAAAAGACGATAAAGTGAGCATCAAAACTGGATAAAAAAAAGGAAAGGCAAAGCGAAAAAATGGAGCGAGAAAAACAAAAAAGCGGCTTTATTCCCATATTTTTGCGAAACCCATTTTTAGCTATTCCTATACTAAATGGCCGAAACCAGTCCAAAAAAGAGGACTTGGTGAAAAGTCTCTTATATTACTTGAATCGAAATTTGAGAAGACATCTATAGAAAGCGTAGGTATATACTATGTTCATATTACTCGACCAACAGAAACTTTAACTTAGATACATTTTCAGTATTAAAAAGACGTCAATTTGATCCCTACCTTTCAGATTAACAACACCGCTGTTAAATCCATTCAATCTGCTTTCCACCCTACCAACTCCATTATGGACATCCTCGAAATTATTTTCAGTGGAACTAGTTTCTCTTGTTGATGTAAAGACGAGCATCAGAACGGCACATAAAATATACATAATAAGAGCAGTCTTGTGTTCAACACCATCAACTCTGTTTTCAAAACCACCAACTCTGTTTTCAAAACCACCAACTCTGTTTTCAAAACCACCAATTCTGTTTTCAAAACCGCCAACTCTGTTTTCAAAACCACCAATTCTGTTTTCAAAACCACCAACTCTGTTTTCAAAACCACCAACTCTGTTTTCAAAACCACCAACTCTGTTTTCAAAACCATAAACTCTGTTTTCAATCAGTGTTACTCTGTTCTTCATGTCCTCCAAAGAGGTCCAGCACTTCTGAAGCTCATCAAGGACTTTCGTCTTTTCCTCATCTGATTCTACAGACATATGCTTCACAGCATTCTCAAGTAATTTCACGTCCTGTTGAACCAGCTGAAGCAAATGTTGGTCTACAGGTGAGTTCATACACAGGGAAGTTCCTTTAAAACAATGAAAGCCAAAACTGATGAGAGGGGGAAGTCCCTTTTTAAAAAAGTTAAGTCAATAAAAATAATTAATCACTTATATTTGACCTTTTAACATGCAATAATCAAAGGCGCATTACAACATGAATTCTAAAAAATCTAATAAAATTCCTAAAGAAAATAAAATTAAAAATACTAAGAATTAAAAGCTAGTTTAAAAAGATATGTTTTGAGTCAGGATTTAAACAGTTGATCTGTTTTTTATTTCCTTAACGAGGTGGGCAAGGCATTCCACAATGTGGGAGCAGCAACAGAAAAAGATGTCTCCGAAAGATGTCAACATCTTCCCACGAGGGAAATCTAGTAGTAATCCATCATTTGATCACATCTAATAGGCAGACCGATTCCTTACTGAAATTAAATTACTGATATACTGGGGTGTCTGACTAAGCAAAGATTTAAAAACGATTAAAAGCATCTTAAAAGAAATACGAAATCTCACTGGCAGCCAGTGAAGTTCACAAAGTACAGGGATCACATGGCTGAACTTAGATGAAAAGGTAACAGTTCTAGCTGCAGCGTTGTTGAATCTTTGCAACTTGGAGATCTCAGTGTTTGGAAGTCCGTACAGTACACTGTTACAATAATCCAGTCGGCTTGTAATAAAAGCAAGCAATAACGTTAGGAGACTTTTCTGGTCAAAATACTTCCTGATACCTTGGATATTATGAAGATAAAAGAAGGCGGTACTGCACAACTTGTTAATATGCGTTGACATTGACAAGTTCGAGTCAAACCAGGAGCCTACTAGGTTTCTCACTGTGTTAACAGGGAATTGAACATCATTTCTGCCGACCCGTATTGAACACTCGTTGAGCTTGGAAAGCCGTTGCTTGGAACCAATGATTATAAACTCAGTCGATCTTGTCATCATTTATCATCAACCTGTCTTGAAGCATCCATGTTCTAAGATCACGTACAAAATTCTCTACAGGTGCAACGGCTTCGTATTGTGTTTTGGCATGCAGCTCAGGTTTAAATGATAAATATAACTGTGAGTCATCAGCAAAACACGGAACTTAAATGGTAAATGTGACTCAATAATATCGAACAACTTGGAAGCGTAGACGACAAAGAGTAAGGGCCCCATACAGGAAACTCAAGCTAAACTTTCCGGAGGTAGCACTATTCAGTGATACGCGTTGGCTCCGATCGATAAGGTAGGACTTCACCCCGCTGACGGTCTTTCCTCGTACGCCAAATTTAGTATACAAGCACTGCACCTTATCAAGTTCTCATGATCTACAGTGTCGAAGGCAGTGCTAAGATCTAATAATACTGAGATGGTAGCATGTTTTGAATTCATTTTCAGTAGTATGCCATTTGCTACCTTCAACAGGGCTGCCGGTCTCAGTACTATGTTGTTGGCGATATGCAGATTAATTTAAAGGGTGAGTCAATCAAGACGTTCGGAAAAATCAACGTTAGACTATTTGAAAATTTTTTCATCATTCCATGATCACACTCGTCATGGACTGCAAATTCAAGTTTTATATCCAAGGGAACAAAAATAATACTTTAAGTTAATATAATAATAAAAATATATAATGTAGTGGGCCGAGATAATGTCTGAAACAAATAATTAATTCAAATGAAATTTAGCAGGGTTAAGAATCCCAACTGGCCTGAGGCAAACCAGCTGGCGATTTACAAACGTAGTCCAGGATTTGAACTCGGAAATACTAAGGCATACACCAACCCCACCCGCTCAGATGATAGCGCTGCAAGAATAAAGGAAGTCATATGACATGAAAAGCTGGAGGTTCTTTTCTTAGCGTCCCCCCATGTGTCTTATCAACGTAACAATTATACTTAGTATTTTCTCTACCTGGTAACATTTACACACCGGATACAAGCACACCACCATAAACTTATCAAAATGAGTAACATTCGCAAGTGTTATTGCTAATGTATGCAAGGTAACCGCGCAGACTTTGCACAACATTGCTTGTAGGTAAGCCCCTCTTCAGGTTTGACCGTTTTTGTACTAAGGACGCATTATCCGTCTGGACGAACCTGGGCAAACATTTGTAGTTCGTCTGGGTTATGCGTCTCAAGTATAAATAAGGGTACAAGACGCATTATGCCAAATCATGCGTCTGGACGAACTTTCCTTCGAAATACGTCTTGAAGGACGCACTACGAAAGGTAGTTCGTCTGGAAGCACAATGCGTCTTCCGCCCGTCTTTATAGTAGACTCATAACCAGACGAACTAAAAAATGTTTGCCCAAGTTCGTCAAGACGGATAGTGAGTCCTTAGTATAAAAAAGGCCATTTTCAAATAACTCAGGTGCTACTTTCGCCCTTGTAAATAAGCAACGTAAGAATTTTTCAGCTTACATGAAAGTGTGCGTGCTTTCTACTTGCTGTTGACAAAAGACATTTGACACATTTAAACCACAAACGCCTGTAACCACCTATATGTAATCACATATCAATTCACAATCTAATAAATGACGTTAATGAACGTCCACGGGAAGAATAAAGGTTCGGCTGGATCGCAAATGCAACCACACTACAAGCCTTGGCCATTATTTTACAAGTCCAGGTATTCCCACTGTCGGAATGGTCGTGGTTTTTATGACGAGAAGACGTGAGTATGATTCAAAATCTTTTGTCACAAGACTATTAAAATAAGAAAACGAAAGCAAGTGTTGTGAACACTCGTAATCCCGCTGCTGCAGGGAAATAATTCTGTTAAGAATACAAATCTTTACAGCCTCAGTCTTGAGCAACAATACAAAAGTGATAAAAGGCATAAAGTCAAGTATCTAGAAGAAGATAGACATAGAAGCACAAAAGCATCCGTTTTCTCACTTTACCAAGTCTGGAGAAGTTTAACCAGGACATGAGTAATCAAGAAAACTGGATGAAGATATTATAGGAAAACCGTTTTTTAGGTGGAGGAGAAAGTGAGAGACATTGCTGAATATATAGTTGAAAAAGATCACAGACATGCTTGAAACTAACATTAATCATGCTATCCAACGAATCCGTTTCCTACATCAAAGAGCTTTGTAGGAAGCAGTGATAAAGGGGGAAGGAAATACTGTACTCAGTAATAGTGAAGACAAAGAAAATGATGAGCTGGACGAAAACGCTAAAATGACGAGTAAGATGAAAATGATCAGACAGTTCAAAATGATGAGGCGGATGAAAGTTGAGGGGATGTTGACCAATTCTGAGTTTCAAATTGTTACTAAAAAGAATTAATAAACATTTTTTTCTGTACAAATTTTATTGGTTGTTTATCTGATTATACTTGATTAATGTCTTGAGAAAAATTGTCAGTATACCTTCGTAAATTTTTACATCCCCCCTTTCATCCATGCATAAAATTTGCTGACCACCTCATTGACCGGTCCCTAATAGAGAGAGAAATTAGTGACTACTAAGGCTCTCTGTCATGCTGTTTTAGTTTAAGATGCTGGCTTTCTCGTAAAAATTCATGTGGCTGTTCCCTTACCTTTCGTTTCCCAATCTTTTAATTCTCCCAGAAGGTTTGCTTCATCTGCTGCTGGTAGACCCAAGGTTCTTACAAGATCCTCCATTTCAGCAAAGACCTGCTGAAACTTGGCGAGGTCCCATTTACTGAACACGCAGTGCGCCCAGTCATTTCTTACAGCAACTCTTACATCAGCAGCAGCAACCTTTACAGAGCTTGAGAACACAGGAACACTCCCAAGCAATGACAGTACAGCTGAAGCATCACAGTGGTCATCGAAAGCGTTGAACTTGGCCATGTAGTTTTCAACGTACAACTTCGCAAAGTCAACGTGAGATAATACTTTGCAGTCAAAGACAGAGTAATCCCATTTTCCACCACGAAGCTTAGGATGAAGATTGTTATTATTAATATTCTCATACTTCAAAAACTTATGCCAGCTCTTAAGACGACCAGAAGAACTTTGTGTGTTAATATTGTGGCTCGTCTTGAGATTGTTGTATTGCTTTTCAACCTCTCGTTCAACAAATGGTCGGATCTGTGGCACAAGAATCTTGTTGAGTGCTATTCCAACAACTAACCATCGCTTTTGGTTGTCTGTCACACCAAGATGGCTGGAAAAAAAAAAAATAAAAAAAAATAAACAAACAAGTAGGGACTAATAGGCCACTTGCACTAGGAGGTCACGTGACCAATGCTTCCTTTAAACAATGAGTTGGGATCTTGCTGATGCCAAAAATTGTCAGAGCACATAAAAATTATCTTACACCCGGAATTTGAGAGGAAACGCATTTAAGGGAGTATGGCACTTTGATTTTCAACAAAATAGTATGATTTGAATTGGCCGCCATGTTGGAGGGCATACTCTTGTCCTCCAACATGGCGGCTAAAACTACTTTTTGCTTATATCTTGTTAAACGTTTGATAGTTGCGCTCAGATGTGCTGTAAACGTTACCACATCATCTTTTCAACATTTTCCTTGACGTTTAAGTGCAAAATTTGTGTTCAGAAAGAGGTAATTCAGAATTTTAAAAATCACATTTGGTCACGTGACCAACTACAAGCTTACTCATTTTAAGAAAATGGTGCGGGTTTGAAAAACCAAATCACTATTATTTTGTTTAAGATATGATCCATTAATCGTTTTTCGAAGGCAAATCATATAACGTTCATTTTCATAAAAACGATGTCACATGACCTCTTAGTGCAAATAGGCTATTGAGTTCTTTAAAGATAAAACCTAGCCTGGGACTAGGCTCCGCAGTGGGGGAAAAGGCGAAAATGAGATTGACATGAGGGTGAAATTCCACAACAGACCCTCTAAAGACAGAAAACACAAGCAATTTGTACTTTGGTACAGAGAGAAGTTTATTGTAAAGAAACACTGATAGTCAAAACGAAAAAAACGATAAAATAATGTATACATTTAGCCATGCTAAAAGCGAAGCTCGCGGTAGTATACTTATAGTTTATTCAAACAAAAATTGAAAATAAAATAAATAGCATGGCAAGTAAAAAATATAGTTGTTGCTTGACTGGGAGCCAGCTCAAGCCTTTTAACGAGGAAGTAACTATCGAATTTTCCAGCGCGCTCACAATTCGACAGGCTAAATTCTATACTGCTTGGCGGTTTGTCCAGATAGGATTGGGTAGTGTTGCTCAAAACGGTGGAGCAACAAAATAGTTTATTAAAAACTAAGGCGTTTATGACAATGATAAATGAGTGCCGACTAAAAGCCTGTTCTCACCGCTTTTCGAGATGATACATGCTTACAGCCATTACAAAAATAGAATCGGTAACAACGAGTGCCGTAGGCTGCTGATAAGTTTTTGGTAAGGGAAAACCACTATAAGTGGCTCTCTTTTAAGTTGACACCTTCTATTAAGCGGTCACCTGCTGTCCCCCAAGTTTGCCTTAAATTTAACCTCTATCCAACGGTCACAGCTATTAACCACCACTCGCATTTCCCAATTGTCTAGTTTTATTGTAATTTACCTCTATTAAACAGTCATCTTGCCCATGACAATAAATGTTGTTTTCCTTTCTTTTTCACGCTACATATAGCACAGGAAAATGGTGCAGCATTGTTCAAATTAGCGTTTAAAGCTCGAAATTTGGCAGAGGTATAGAGGTCAATCTGCTCCGAATGGGGTCACCACCTTATCGTGGTGGGGCAGTTTGCGTGTCTCAATGACCCCTAGAGCTATGTCGGCTTGAGTCTTGTTCTCCTGGTAGGGCCAATGCCGAAAAGGTCGAAGGGTAGAGACCAGACAAAGAGAGACCTCCTGGTCCTCCAATTTGGGGGATGGGCGTAAGGCTAACGATCCTACCACATAAAAAGACTAACTATTACAGAAACCAGAAGCATTGATATAATTCTATAAATATGTACTGGTTTTCTAGTCCCCATAGTTTGGTAGATGAAATCAGCTCCTTTCTCATTCTAGTATTCATGCTGACCGATAATTCTGTCTATTAGCTCTTGCTATTACCCAGTCCAGATAACTGAACAGATCGGGCTTTAAACTAGATTGCAACAGCACAGCCTTTTCGCTCTTCTCTCATGGACGAAGAAACGGCCAAAGTCCTTGTTTTCTTGAGCGGAAAAATTTGCTTCAGGCTTTTAGGTGATCTCCCTTTTCCTCGTGATCAATAGCTTGTTTGGTGAATAATTTACCACCATCAGACGTTTCTCTCGGTCATTAATTGCAAGGATACTCTAGAAAAATAACAGAGCAACGTTAATAATATCTAAACAAATAGTTACTACGAACTCATCGAAAACGAACGCGTGAAAGGCGTATTTTCCGGCAAATGAAGCACAACACCTCGCGAGTACATGTTTACAAATTGATGGTGCGAACAGCGACGAAATGATCAAACTTGGCGGTGATAGTAAACATTGAAATCGCGAGGTACTTTGAGGTTCTAAAATCGAAACACCTCCATTGTTATCTGAATTTGCTATAGTTTTCATTATCTATTTGTTAAAAGGTTACCAGAACAATGCTCTCTTACCATGATTCTTCAGGGTCATTCAGCCCGGCATCGCTCCATTTTTAATTGTAATGAGGTCCAAAATATTGATCTAAAAGGAGCACAAAAGGCCATTATCAGAGCCAGGGACACAGTTTGTAAAAGGATAGTAGAACATAGATCAACAGAAAGCTAGATAACTAACCTTGAAGTACTTTGAACTGTGTGAATTTTGCGTTTGAAAATCCCGTTGTAACCACTTCTTTCGACTACTGACTTTTAGGCGCAGAGCATCATGGAATACTTGATCTGTCACTGAGGAAGCCAGGTATTAACCAGCTTTCGTTCAAACGGTTAATCTCTTACATGATACAAACAAGAGCTGACTGAAGGTTCGGTAGAGGGTACAAATGTCACTTGTCGGTTACAATTTTGGCCATCTATACATTGTCACTAGTTAAATTTTGGGTCATTTGTCAGTTTTAGTTAACTGGCTTTATTGACTATGCAACTTAATTTATTCTTGTGGGCCTAAATCCAGCCAAAGATAGTCAATTAGGAAATAAGATCATATTCTATTACGCAATTTACCGTAACGTTCTTGTTACTTTCGGATTTAGTACCCTTCTATTATCGCTACTTTCGAAGTCTCGCTACGGCTTTCGAGGGGTCGTTACTTTCGGATGGCTAAAACGCGTACAGTCAAACCTCTTTAAGTAATGATCCGGGTAAGGTGGATAGCAATTTCTTTTGTTATGCGGCAACAGTTCTTTCCCCACATAGGAATGTTCTCATTTTTACACAGAGAATGCATAAACCTACATGAAGGCCGTTTACGCAAAAAAATACATTTACACTCCACTTTGAAAGGGTGTTTTTTTTGTGTTAAAAGATTTTGACCAATCACAAGAGTTGAAAACAATAGCCAAGAAAAGTTTACAATTTTACATGTTCCCCACATAGGATTTCTTTGTTATTCAAACTGAGACCAGATTTTGTTATATGGAAGATGGTTGGAAAGTAAGGATGAATATTACTGCTTTATGAAGTTTTACTTAACTTTTGCTGTTTAAGCCAGTCAGAAGTAAGTACAGACAATAGAAAAGTTAGCACCTTTTTGGCATCCCAACATGTTCGTTGCCGTTGTTGCTATCGTTCTTATCTGGACTGTTTCTTAATACGGACACCAAAGGGACAGAACCAAGTGTCCGCTAAACAGAGGTGTCTGTACATTATAGAATTTTTGGCTTTCTGAGACCAAATGAACTGTCCATAATAGAGAGGTATCCGTATTATAGAGGTGTCCGTAAGGAGAGGTTAGACTGTACTCCACACATGTAGGTACTTCAAAAAATGAAATCGCAAAAATGTGAAAGGAAAACGTTTTGAAAAAAAGTTATGTATATCCTGTACTTTGAGAGTTATGAATAGGAATGTCAAATAATAATTAACCTCTATAATACCGACACCTCTCCGCTATTACGGACAGTTCGTTTGGTCCCAGAAATGCCAAAAATCATACATTCCCTACCTCTATAATACGGATACCTCTGTAAAGCGGACACTTGGTTCTGTCCTTTTGGTGTCCGTATTAAAGAGGCTTGGCTGCAGGCCCGCAGCAAGCATAAAATGGCCCCGGGGGCTGACCGAGGGGCCCACATTAACCCCCCCCCCCCCCGCTTCGGTCCCTCGGTTCAAGCATACTTCTTGGTACATGTCAGATCACTACATTTGTATACAATACCTTTTGTTATTGTCTCTAATTTTCCGTTTGTGTTCACTTTGACGAAATAGAGAACTTGTTTGGGAAATCGTTCGCGGAAAATTTGCCAAAAAATTGCTTTCGGGTTGTTCTTTGATTCGGATTGTTGATTCTTCGACTACACCAGGCTCTGTGTCACAAGTGCATGGTTTTACCCACGATAAAAGTGTTCCCTGCTTATTTTCGACTTGTTTGGATTTCTTTTTCGGCGGCTGTTGCGAAGACATTGTAAGACTTTCAACATAAACGCGCAAAAACCTACGTTTTACTCTAGTACAGTAGTATAGTTTACACTGGCGGATCTCTTAGGAAACCAATAAAGTTCAAGAGGTCAAGTTCAGGGATTGTCATTGGTGCATTTCGATCCATTTTGCTTCTGACTATTTTGATGCTTAATAAGCAGATATTTTAAAGCTGTTGTTTGTTTTTGGCAGAGAAAAAATACGATTTCGTTCATTTACACAATTCCAAATTGCACAGAAGAACAACAGTACATAATCTCCCTATGATCGACAATACTTTGAAACTTTAGCTTCCATTGACAGCTGTCCATTTTAGTAGAAAAATTGACTTTTGTAGCAGAATTTAATTCAAGTCTGAAAATTTCTGGGGGGGCTCGAGCCCCCCCTGCCCCTCCCCCTGCTACGGGCCTGGGCTGTATCTATCATATCCATTATTTTTTCGGCAAAAGGGGAAATTAGTTTTGAGGTCTCTACTTTCGGAGGGTCGTTATTTTCGGGGGGATCGCTACTTTCGGGATTTGCTTGTGACATTTTATCGTTACTTTTGGAACTTTACGGTATAATAATAATTTGTTGATATTATTTAGTTTTAATGATCGTCTGCCTAGCGATTTGATATTGAAACAAACAATGTTAC